AAGCACAAACGCCGACTTTGATAGAGCGCACAGTGGCGGAAAAGAAAGTAGACACCGAAACTCGTCTGTGCATGCCCAGCCAGAAGGTGACGCCTAATAATCCGGCACGCATTGGGGTCTTCAAGACAGTACGTTGCCTAGAATAATTTGCTTTGGTCTAGGATTTCTGTGAGAATCAAATCTGATTTCAATCTGCACTGCTACAGCGATTGTCGGATATAACGAACTGGAACTAATTTATGGTCCACATGCTCAGGCCCATAGCCAGAGGGGGAGGGGTCCTAGTCCCCCCCCCCCTGAAATTTGAATGTACATGTGTTTAATTGAGGATATTACTAACAAATGGGCGTTTTTCAAGGCCTTCAACAGGTGTGTCACCCCCGAAAAAACTTTCCGACTACGGGCCTGCACATGCTGCTTCGTTTTAACGGTGTTGTACTGTACTCAGTGGAGCAGCCAGAATTTTTTTGGGGGGGGCGGTGGAGAGGGGGGTATTCATCCATACTTCATGCAGAGCCAGGAGCATGTGCACATATAGAAATGCACACATACAGACAAAAAATTTAAACAGCTTGCATTCCACAGCCAAAGGGGGCTGCCCTGTACTTTTTATGAATCTGCTTCCTCGTTTACTCATACTCCGCAGAGCTAACAACACTTGAGGACACCTGGCGAAATAAAAAAATCTTTCACTAAATGTAGCAAGAAAATAAAAAAAGTGCTTCTAATGAATACACACATTAGGTGGAACAACCCACAGAAGCCATCAAGACACTGTTTACGGAGGAAAAGCTGCACAACAGGAGTGACACAGATGCTTTGCAGTTTTTGGGTCTCTTCAACTGCTGGAGAGGCCACCTTGAGATGGAAGACAAGACAACCAATGTTTTGCCCGAGAAAGTTTATTCAGGCATTTCAGGGATGCCCACCATTATATTCGTTGTAACCTTAGCTTGTTTGCCCGCAAACAAGAACACCACTGCCAAAAAAAAAATTTCTGCCAATACACCGTAGTCGCAGCAGTCGAGAACGACAGAGATACACATGCCGCTGTCGAAACAAATTCACAAAATTCAAGGCAGCGGGCATAACGTAACTTCTACAAGGGGCTCGTGATGAGCCTCGCTCGGAAAACCAAACAATGCGGCAGCATACCAGCAGCAAACATGGCAGTCGTATGAAAGAAGCAAGCTACAAGAAAACACGGAAAAGCTGTAAAAATAGTGTCATGTACTCTCATATTCCTAAAACTTTGCATAGGCTAAAAAAATGTCAGGTGCAAGGGACAACCTGGCACACTAGGCTTTGTCGATCACAGTAAACGTTGACACCAAGAAGGCAGCCTGTATGTCTGCAGAGTAGCTAGAGTATTTACGAGTACGTTTGTTTAATTACATGCACCACTTCTAAGCGTGAAAACGCAACACAGAACAAAAGTGACACACCTGAAGAGATCACCAGTGCAATTCTAGAGTAAAAAAAGCTCGCAATAAAATATGAAATCACAGAACAAAATACGCCATGGCCAGCAGGACGGTTAGCAGTTGCAGGTGAACAAAGTTAGCAGACGCGCCGATGTAAACAGAACATATGCCAGTTTCATACAGACTATCCCAACAGTGAAAAGTTCTGTCAAGATTGCATTATCAAGTCTTGGGTCAAACCTCGATGCGTCAATACTCACCTACACAGGTTGATCATTACATAGCTCAAAGCACAGGCACCGACACAGAATCCCACAAGCAATGTGATCTTGTCAAACAGACATTGGCAAAGGTATACTATGTTTCCATGGACTACATCAAACATCTAAAGCGCATTAGTGTCAGCCTGTTTACAACCAAATAACGCAATGAGCCTCACAGGACGGTTGTTACGCAGTCTGCCAAGACACGAGTGAATATGCAGCGCTTTTGTGTTACAGTGGAAATGTCTCGCTCCTATTAAGATGCATACAGGTAGTTCCAGCTATCACACCCAAGAAAAATATCAACATTCTTTTCTGCATGCTGCAGTGGTTGATAAGTCGCAAGCCCCCAAACATCCTACTCCATGATAGCATATGCCTCCCTCACTTTACCTTTGCTTGCTCCTTCAAATCTATGAAGTCTGGTTACCAGACACACAAAGCAAATTGCATAGACAGATACCAAGAGTTAACAAGCTTGCATATGTCTTCTGCGATCCTCACACACAAAATTGGTAGCAGTTCAAGTAGTTCAAAACTCTATATGCAAACACCTCAAACAACAAAAAATTTCTCCGATGGTACTGAACAAGACGTACGCCACATCAGTTTAGTATGACTCAAGCGAGGGAAAATGCAGGGACCCGTTTTGTCGAGTAGAAGCACTAAGATAAACAAACGTCATACTTTGCGCACACATCAAAAACACAGCTTCCAAGAACTTTTATGTCAAACCTTGCTCTGATCAGAGGGCGTTGCCGATAATACAGCACAAACAGCAATACCTAGCACATTCACTTCGTAAAATAATTACAGTACATTGAACTCACATCTCACAGTAATAGATACATAACTTGAGGTCGCTCATTAGACCATGCATGGGATCGGTACAGGCGCGGCCACAGTTGAAGGTAAGATGGCGCTGCTCACAATCAGTGCCAGAGGCGTGGTGAGCTACACGTCGTTTGCTACGGTTCCTCCCACTTCGCCGCGCGCTCCGATAAAAGCGCACGCAATGTATATTTTGCAGCTCGCAGCGAAATGGTAGAAACCATAGCAGGCGACGCACAGCTAGCTCCACATCTGCCACTGATTGCACCGCATTACTTTGCGCGGCGCCCTTTGTGGCGCTCTGCATCGCGCGGCCACCTGCTCTGTTTTACCTGACAGTGCCCACGTCTGTACATGCAAACATCCAATTTCCAGTGCATTATGTGGGGTCTGATAATATTCATTGACGAGAACTGCAATGTGCTACACTCCTTGCCAAACTTTGCTAACGTCGCTGGATATGTGAATTGAATTGCACTCCTGTTCCAGCGAAACAGAACACCACGATGCTCTACACGACCACTCATGTTTCCATGTCTTACATCGGCTTCTTAAACCTGTCAAGGATTCCATCACAATAGGCTGGAAATTTGCAAACAGCAGTGAAAAAACTGGGAAGCTTGGCACGTATGCGTTGTCCTTGCTTTTTAAAGGCTAAAATGCACAACTGACCGAAAAAAAAAAACTGCTATCGATTTGTTTGGAGCATGAAACTGCTGTGTCAACATGCATATTTCAGGAAGAGTGCTTTCCAGTTGATAAGAAACTCGTGCCAGACAAACAGTTTTCATCAACTTGAAAGCACTTTACAAGACATGCATAAGGATTTCCTTTTAGTTTCACGCTATAAACAAATAAATCATAATTTTTTTTCTGTTTTTATAGATTTTTCCGAACTTTTGCAGAACTTATTTGCTCCAGAATGCTTACTGTAATGCGAGTAGAACGCAGCCTTAAGTTGACTGTTCTTGGCATCTTTTGTCGATTGATTACCTCACTCGATACCTTGCTAATACAGGAAGGCACTGCAGTACATTTTCATCATTTTCGTTCTTCCTTAAGGTCTCCTCGCCAACTTTTGACGCAAATTGTCACTTAAAATATGTTTCCCAGAAACCAAAGGCACACCAGTCATGCAAATGGACGGGGCGTGGCTCTCACGTCATTCTTTCTCATCAAGTGCGCACAGTAAAAAGGCACTGAATCATAGTCCATAAAAATACAGCTATATAGCTTTACTGTTGTCCTCTCAGTTCACGCTTACATCATCATCATTATCATCATCATCATTAACCTGACTACGTCCACTGCTGGACAAAGGCCTCTCCCATGTTCCGCCAGTCAACTCGGTCCTGTGCTTGCTGCTGCCATTTTATACCCACAAACTTACATATTTGTACCATAACAGCAACGTTTATGTACTTGGCAGCGATATTTGGGTGGAGCCACAATCTGGACAATGATTTTGAGGCACCGGTTTTGAGACATAACTGCTGCCTGGCATCATATTTTCAGTAGTTGCAGGCAACAACATTCGTTTTTGACTTACAAATCTTTCGAATCCTAGCCACTTTGGTTTAAGAGTGACAAGAACTACCTAAAACATCTCTTTCATGGTGCATAAACGATCAGCTTTAGTATGCCACTCTGGAGTGATTCCGGCACACCCCTACACACCTAGCCAAAATTTCAATGCACATTTTACAGGCCATTATGCACAAGCAAGTTCACTGAAAAATCTCGAGACAGCGATGACTCTTACTGATGTTATTCACACATACTTTGCCAAGTTGAGCCTATCTAAAAGATGTATTCACGATAAACACAACGTGCTTCTACCAACTGTGGGGCATGCACTAGGTTAAGATGGAAATATTCAGTTGCACAATTTTTCCAGTTTAACATGAAAAGGGAATACCAACCAACAACACTTTTTGCTAAGGTGGTAAGAAACTGATGCATTTCCACAAAGCACCACTGGAAATTAAAAAAAAATTAATGTGAGTGCGAGCACACGACACATTCACGCATGCACACACCCAGGCATCAAACATGCGCAGCAATCACTTTCAACTGATTTATTCATAGCACTAAGGCTTGATTATAAACATAAGGCACAAGTGTGCATTAACATCATATAGAAGGCCAACAGTATACACTATCAGGACATACAGTTTAGCATCTCGCAGCCTAGAGCCAAAAACTGGGATTCACTTGGGAACAAAGATAGCGAAGGGGCACTTACACAGTGATCTTTATCTTTTTCTATGAAAAAGGCTGTGAGATGATGAACTGTATGTCTTGAATGTGTATGCTGTTGGCTTTGTATGATGTTAATGCACGCTTGTGCCCCATGTATATATTCAAGCCTTTATGCTATGAATAAATCAGCTGGAAGTGAGCGCTGTGCGTGTTTGATGCCTGGGTGTTTTTATGCGTGAATGTGTCGTGTGTTTGTGCTCCAATTAATTTTTTAAAACATTATACCAACTACCCCAACAACAAGTTCTTTTACACCACCGGAAAGATATTTACAAAGTAACGGTGAGAAATTCCAGGGAACCAAGGCTTGGAGTTGTTCTGAAAAGACACTTTCACTCATGCCAAGTGCGGTTTGATGAAAAATAAATGTCCATGAAACAAATGCTAAGTGTGTTATGAACTCAGAGTCAAAACAGGCGTTGCCCGTTATTTCAAATCAGCTCCAGCATCTCAATGTGAAAGCACCCAGTGTGGCAAAACACTATCAGTATGTATGATTAGACATGATTAGAAAAACGCATTGATTGACACATAACCTAGGTATCCCTCTCTTCAATGTATACCACGGAAGAGCGGCACGGTACACTGGTAGCTCCAAAGGCAATCTAAGCACCTTGTCATGCATGTGAAGGCTTGGGTTTAACACCTTCTCATTGAGTAAGAGGTAGGCAGAAGTGTTTCCCTAACATTCTTTCGTGGCAGTTCTTGGTGTTCCCTGATGCCAGGTTTCTGCACACTATTTTATAAGAGCAAGTTACGTCACATTATGGTCAGGTAACAGTGGCCCGGAAAGTACACTTTAGCTTACGTGAATAGCCGTACTAGCAGCCATGCTTGTACAACGTTACCTTGCTGGGCCTTGCGTACACAACCATCAGCAGTATAGTGAGGAACGTACGTGATTCTCTCATTGTCCCATCAACTCTAACAGGCGCATCAAACACTGTTCTACACTTTGAATGTATTTACACAAAAGGCGGCACAGCATGCAAAGCATTAGACACACTGAGCACTTGCAGGCAACTCTTCTATTCTAAGCTCGCACTCCGTCTTAGAGAAAAGAGAATTCGCACGGGCAGCAAGTAGCATTCATTGAAAAAAATCGCAGCTCAGGCACCGATGTTGCACGCAAGCTCACCTACCCTGGATAATGGATGCAATTTGAACAGGGCAAGCAGGGTTTTCTTTTTTTACAATGTCATGTCATATGTCATTTAAAATCGCAGCATTTTCACTCAAGTGCATAGGAAAAAAAAGTGGGGGAGGAGGGAGAGCTTAGACATTAGTTGCGAGTATGAACACAATGGCAGCATCTTGAGCTACATGAATTATCAATCTGACACTAACCATAATTCAGAAGCGCATTCACTAGCAACATGTGGTTCTTGGAATGTGTTACTCATGGAGGACCTTGTTTGCATGTGCACGGAAAGGTTCGTTTGATGGACATTTAGAATCGATGTCATTCTACCTTTTCCCCGATTGTTGTTTTACTGTGAGCATCTGTATGGACTGTCCTGAGCAATGTTACCGCCACTGCTTGTGGGTAGAGACATCTACAGCTAATACAACATGGGCACTAAAAACTAGATGAAAAATTATAGATACCGCTGCATTACCGCAAATAACTAAATTCTGCAAGTTACAGTATCGTGTGAAAACACAGACTATATGTAAGTTACTGCATTTGCGCTGATGCAGTCTTGGTAGCAACCGTGATACCAACTTACGGAAAGCGGTACGTAATCACGATAGATTTTGTCTTCGTTTTCGAGGCTGGTTCTTCTTCGTGGAATATACGAAAATAATTGCTATGAAAAGAAGACTGCCGAACACCGAGCTTAAACGAGAATTTAAAAACAAACCTGACACGGCAACCATTACAAAGTTCAGGTAATAAGCAGCACTGAACCTACATGCAAGGAGCGAGGCTAAGATTTTTGCTTCAATGGTTAAAAATAAAACAGGTCTGGATGAAGTGGACAAAGAAATGTTTAAGCAGCAAATTTATCATTTTGGATATCATCTTGTAAGAAATATATCATCTTGCCTCTTTCTTGGAGCACCGTTTCAGTAGGTGTTTTGCGAAGACATTCCTTGTGATTTTTTAGGATTGTGCTCAAGTAGTAAGCTTAGACAAACTTCGCAGGGCCTTTTTTGAAAAAATAACCGACGCAAGTTTAATGCCCTTGACACCGGCATCATTTTCTTTTTGTGCTCATAAGCTGCAACCACAGTGAGCAACTACTTCTTTGCGAGACAAATAAAACAACATGTCTTGGTTATCTTATAAAATAATAAGGTTAAAAACTAAATGAGTGAATATTAAACAAAATGAGATGTTAAAGCAACGAAACTAATTGTCCAATATGACAGCCGAGTATCACTACCCGCCCTACATGGTGACTGTCACTATTACCAATGTAGCTATGAACACAAAATTGAGATGAAGCAGCTCATCTTTTACGTTAAAAAGAGAAAAACACCCTGTATGTGCCACGAAGAACCAGCTATGCACCATTTCTGGCTTTCTTTGTGAAACTGTTTTAAGAACTGGCTTGCGTTCATGCCTAAAAGTAGTAAAAAGGTAGAACAAGCTACGGGATACCCAGGAAAGATATTATGCACTGACGAAATAGTTGTCGAAATAGTCGAAATAGTTGTCTTCAAGCTTCTTGCCAATTGCAGGAACTACTGAAGAACAGATCAATACAGATCGATGCGCAAAGTCTACACCATGCAGATACAGCTCAACGCATGCTGCTCTATCGCGGATGGGAAGGTGTGTGCTCTGGACAGTGGAATATGGTCCGTGACATTTTTGCTAAGTATACACTATTTACGAATTATTTAGGCCCACATACTGAGAGTGCGGCCTGTTTTGTTGTCTTCACACAAAGATATGTGCTATTTCGATGTGATGAAGCAATGCGCTTTTCCATGCGGCTTTGTTATAGTATATATGAGGTTTACCTGTATTACATCTCCGTACAAATGAGTATTTGAACCACAAGCTTATATATACCCTGTATTAATATTTTCATCTCGATGTGGTAGTAGTATGTAGCCAAGTCTAGAATGCTACTCTGCACTTTTTCGCCGCGAATATACACCCATGCAGAGGCGTCACTACTCTGTAACGAAAACATCGTAGCCTCAACACTGAAGCCTGTTCACAACACCACGGGGTGTGACCCTTTACCGCAGATTTGAACGTATAAATTTCACTCTGAAGGCTGTCCTTGAGCCTTTTCGTCATATGAGCGATTCATACAAGGTCATGTAATGCAATTTGGAGTGTTGGCCTTACACAGGGGGCAACTAGTCGATACACCAAGGAACAACACGGAGCCTAGTTGCGAGTGTGCATTGCGTCTTGCTTGCTTCAGTGATGTACACTTGTACCTCGAAAAAATCAGTCTGCGTGCAGCCTTACTCTGAAACGTCTTCTGTTCCCAAATAGGAATGGCGAATTCACACGTCACAGCAACTGCAGAACGTCGACGAATAATCCTACAGCCTGAACACTCATGTCCACAGCCCTCTTTTACAAACTGTTTCTCTCACAAACCAAACAATCTACCACCGAATAAGCCACGAGAACATCGTAAGTCCACAATAGCGAAATGTAAAATGCTAGCGGGTTTTGTTCGGAAGCACTTCAATGGCAGACCTGGTTGAACGGCCAGTGGGTCAAGCCGGCTTATCGCTGAATGGCCACACAAACTTGACGTCGTAGCGCTTGTAGGCGAAGCGGCAGTCCACGCCACTTGTGAGAAGGTCAGCCTTGATTGCCTGAGGACAGTCATTGTCGGTCAACTGTGTCTCTGCGCACAGAAATAAAAAAAAAAGGATAGCCATGCTGAATTGGTTCGAATGCTATTAAACTATGACTGACTACAACTTTAGGGGAAAAAAAAAAATCAGCTTTGCCCACAAACCCACAGCGTACCAACCTTTCATTTGTGAAAGGCTGTCGTGACGTGTAGTTATTAGACAGTTGTAATTTAGCGGGCTCAGGGGGATATTAGCCTTAAAGAAATAGCCGGATCAAAATGCACAGGCGTGGTACACTAAGACCCATAGCGTGTACCATACACAAGCAATTTTTCAGATTTATTGCTGTCGTGTTTACATGGTCAACGTAGTGTAGGTAGAACGTGGCGGCTGTTTTGGATGGGATGGATTCACTTCTTTCGTAGTTAACAACTGTACAAAATGGCTTCACTTGCCTTCGGGTAGCTTCAACAACCAAGTAATTATGGATAACATAGCCTAGTTTTTATGATCACTTTCCATTTGGAACGTCCCTAACCCTAACTAGAAGATCTGTGTAAACAAATCTGCAACATAAAAATTTGTGCTTTTGGTGCATGGTTCATATTTATTTACTTTTATTATTACTAAATAAGAGCACTAATATAGCTGCACGCAGGGATACATGCGAGAATTCTCAGTTTTAATTTATGTTCATTTTCATTTTTTTTTCACTCTTTTTAATGTATTCATCCTCCGCCATGTGACACCACCGTCCCAGCTTGGGCACATAAAACTGCAAAACTGTAACACGCTGTCTGCAAAAAACGTTTGCAACACAGTAACGCTACTTATTCCCTTAACCCCCGCTATTACGCTAACGCCAAGCCATAACTGTCTCACTTCAGCTCAAACCATAAGTACTATCTCTTGGCTTATGTAAACACTAAACATGTTAATAATTTAAGGTTTGTTGTTACCACCTGAAACAGCACTGCGCTGTGCTCCCGACAGGGTTGCAGAAATTAGGTGCCTTTTCTCATCTTCTAACCACTACCACCACGTGTGGCTGAGCAGTGGTGCCAGAATCCTTGACGAAATTTAGTGAAACTTTCAGGTTTTCAGCCTAAAACCAACTGCACAATTGTGTCAGCATGGGAACGTGAGCTGCCTGAAATGCTTGACACCATGAAAATGAGCAAATGCTATTGAATGGAGCATTTATGCAAGTTCTCTGCGGGAGGGACAGTGGTGTCTGAGGGCAGAGCTGATGTTTTCTTTCTCAGGGTGTAACCGAGTATACTGGAGTAGCTGTCTGCACCTACCTTCTCCTTTGACTAGCTTGAACAGGCCATAATCTTCGGGATTTGTGACCCTGAACTTGTGTGCTATCATCTTGCCTGTAAGGAAAGACAATGGGGGGTTACATCGACCGTCATTTGCTAGTCGACGATGCCTTTCTGGCATTGACGCCGTCTCTGGGCGACTTACGGACTTCCTTGGCAGTCATGTGGGGCAGCACGGGCAGCGTCTTGGCCACAATGCTGCCGCTGAGTTCGTCCGGGATGACGATTTGCATGAAGCCCTGGAGGTCAGCCATTCGAGGGTAGCGAAACATTGGCGCCTGGGCAGAGGCCTCCTACAGGCGGTAATAAGACACCGGAAAGAGATGTGTCAGATCACAATTGTTAAGTTTCATACAAAAGTTCAATCAATCAATTAAACTATATTTTCAGGAACAAAAAAATTTCATATACAAGGATCATCTAGCCAACAGTGGCTAGTCATATACAATATGTAACAAAGTATGCACGGGTCAGTCAAGAGGCAACAAAACAACATTTACTCCCATATTCAGAAACGCTCCTCGACTTCACAGTAACTTGCTACCGCCTTTAAATGCAGCATGTTTGGAACATGTTCACACGTTTGTGCTGTCTTGGCATCGCCTAAAGCAGCGCGTCCAAAATGCATTCGTGCTGTATTAAAGGCAGTGGCAAATCAAGTTCAAGTCAAGAAGCGTTCCTGAACATAGGGGTTATACATACACGCGTGCACACATAACGTAAAATTCTAAGCAACCCCTCCCCCCATTGAAGTGAAAATAGCTGGCAAAGTGGGGGGGTGGGGGAGGGCACTATATCGAAACAGCACCAAAATTCAAGATGGCGGCAAAATTTTCAAGCCAGAAAAAAAAAATGCAGTGGGCATAAATTAATCATTACAGAACTTAGCTTAGGCACAGGATTTGTTGTAGCTTTTAATCACTTTTAAAACCATTGAAAGACTCCTCTAAGTCAGTTGTAAAAGAAACAGGTCGCAGCATTCCACTTGAAGTTCGCCGCGGTCTTCTGGCACCCCCAACTCCAACATCTGCCAGTCAGTTGTGTTGGTCGGTGTCCTCCGAGCTATCGAGCGCGTTACCCATGCCGCATCCCTTGGAGGACCGCGCCACTGTCTTCTAGGGTACAGACGCCCACGCCTCGGCATCAAAAGCAAGCTCATGTCCCCGCGACGGCTTCTTCAAGTTCCCTTTCGGTGTTCGTGCTTCCTCATACATATACTGCTCCCACAAATGACGCAAGGTGGACTCGAACGGCTTATTCCAATACACCTCAGCAGGCTGCGGGTTGTAAAGCACATCGGTGCCATACTCCTCGAAGGCATTCGTGGCGGCTTGTGTCTTATGGATGGGCGCCTGATCCAACACTGGCAAGCGTCGCACGTCGTCGACGTTTGGGCCCCAGACTCTCGACAGCCATTCGTGCATTTTCTTCTATGTCATCCAGCCGTTTTCTATGGCGGTCAGACGAGCATTTGCTATGAATGGGAAAAGAAGTCAGCGTTGCGATTAAACGAACTCGGCGACAATGTGACCCCACGCCACCATCAAAAAAATAAAATGATTCTCAACTGGTATGCAAAGGCTTGCAGAAGTCCTGGCTTGAATTTTTCCGCTTTGCTCCTTGATGATAATGAAGGCTGGGAGCTTGTGGCTGGTTGGCGCAAGCAGCTAGGCAAATTGCAAAGGAGACCACAAAGACTACCTTGCTCGTCCCATTGGCGGGGTTGTCTATTCGCACTATCGTCTGATCAACGTTGGATATGTTGTATAAGGTGTGGCCATTGCACTATCGCAGAAACTTCGTGGAAGACCGAAATGCACTTGCTGCCTCCGAAAGTTCCTCGGGCGTCTTCTGGCACTCGTCCATAGCATGGCACATTGCAATGCCAAACTGCTGTTTCCAGCGATACATGTAATAACTGGAGCCTACAAAGTTTCCAAACTGCACGCTGTTAGCAATTTTTACAGCCTCTTTGGAAAGAATCCGGCTGCTGACGGCACGTCTAGTACTTCTCTCGTGCTTAAGGTACTCGAAGAGCACATCGTCCATGTGTTCACTGAGCACTAGTGCACCGTTACTGAGCTTTCGTCGAAGTTCTGCCTTCTTGTAGTTTAGCTGCACCAAATTACCTAAATTCTTCTTCCATTCCCTTATCCACTACCGGTCAAGCTTGAAATGTCAAGATGTCTGGTGCACGTTCTTTCCATTTCCTAGGTACCATCGAATAATATACATTTTCTTTGCCATTGTGCAGGACTGCATAGGTATACAGTCACCGACCGTTTATTCGGACACGCCCGTTTATTCGGACATCTTTGTGGCACCGCCACTCGCTCCATTGATCCTAATGTAAACTCACGACCGAAAATTCGAACGCCCCGCTGTGCGCCATTCGATTATTCGGACTCTGTTTAACTGACCGCATGTGTCGCCGTGCGCCATTACGCGCTGACAGCGACGTTGACACGGGACGTTTACAATACGTTTGCTAGGTAGCCAGCACTGATATGCTGCACTCGCTATAGATGGACGTCGGGCCAGTGTCAAAACGCACGCAGCAATTGCCATTGCCGATCTCAAAGGTTATGTGTAGCGACACAATTTTTTTTTTTTTTTAGCCAGTCGAGCGGCCAAGCCAAGCTACCTACGGAGACTGTTCGCTGCGGCGTTTGGCGTGTGTCAGCGTGTCAGTCAGTTGCTTCTGCGGCTAGGCCTGGTTCGTTTTGTTCTCTGTGTTCTCGCTCTTTTGCGTGTTCAGTGGCGTGCTGAAATAGCTCCGACGCCACCCATTGCTGCGCCGCCGGTAGTGAAGAAACGCGGCCAACGTGGGAGCTACAAGACGCTCACGATGGCGAAGAAAGCGGAGATATTCACCAGGTAGAAGGCGGCCAACCTCAGTCAAAGGTTGCTCGGGAATTTTCTATTTCCAAGCGAACCGTCTCGGACTACCTCAAGCAGAAGGCTAAGATTCTAGAGGCAGCTGAGAAAGCGTCTTCGGGCACGCAGAATAATTTCCGGGACGGCTGGCACTCGCAGCTTGAAGAGGCGCTGAACATGTGGTTGAGTGCTACGGTGGCTAGGAAAACACCCGTGTCTGGCGATCTGCTGAGACAGAAAGCAGAGACACTCGCCCTGCGCATGGTATTACCGCCTGCAAGTTCAGTGACGGCTGGTTGCGCAACTTTAAGAAAAGGTACGACCTGGCCTTCAAGCGAATGTGCGATGAGAGTGGTTCCGTCGACCAAACACTCGTGACCAACTACTCCACCAGCAAGCTGTGCGCACTGCTGCGCCAGTATCCACCAGAAAACGTCTTTAATTGTGCCGAGACAGGACTTTTTTATAAGATGCTGCCCGACAAGACGCTAGCTTTGTCTGGTGAACCCTGTCATAGGGGGAAGCACAGCAATGAGCGACTGACAGTTGTTGTAGGAGGCAACATGACGGGGACGGAGAAACTTCCGCTCCTCGTGATAGGGAAATCAAAGAATCCGAGATGTTTTAAAGGCGTCAAATCACTCCCTGTGTGTTATGAAGCAAATTCGAAGGGGTGAATTACGCAAAACCTCTCCGAACAGTACCTTCGCAAGCTCGACCCCTGGTACGAACTGCAAAATCGCAAGGTGCTGCAGTTCGTCGACAACTGCGGTGCCCATGGGCATATCGACAACTTGAAAGCTATGACAGTGGAGTTTTTTCCACCTAACACAAAAAGCGTATTGCAGCCCATGGACCAGGGCGTCATCAAAAACTTGAAAGTTCACTACCAGTCGTGCCTCCTGAATCGGATGCTGTTATGCGTCGACAGTGACAAAAACTACATCGTGGATGTTCTGACAGCCATCAGCATGTTCTCCGATGCCTGGAAGTCAGTGACTCTGGAAACGATCCACGACTGCTTGCACCACGCAGGATTTATGACTGGGACTGAGGAGGAGAGTGCCACAGGCCAGAACCCCGCGTTTGAGAGTCCGCCTACTGCAGCAGCGGACTTTTTGGATGACCTCCGTGCTAGCGGGGTCCATGTGGGGGTGAGTACGTTTGAAGAGTTCGTCAACTTTGACAGTGTTGTTTTGCCTTGCGCAGAGTTGGACGATGACGAGATCGTCCGTCAGGTCTGTGAGCCGGCGCTGGCGGACAGTGACTCCGACGATGACATGCCGCCCGCATCACAACCATCAAATGGGGACTTAGCGCAAGCCATATCGATGCTGTTGTCTGTCTACAGCGACGGCCAGACACTCGCAGAGGTACAGGCCAATGTGGTCGCGCGTAAGCGTGCGTCTGTGCAGACGCGCATAGACAGTTTTTTCGGGCGATCGGGCCAATAAAAGTGCTTTTTTTTTTTACTGAATCCGTTTTTTCGGACACACAATTATTCGGACTTTTCGGCGGTTCCCGTCGAGTCCGAATAAACGGTCCGCGACTGCAGCTGACTTCTCATCGCAAACACAAAGCAACAAATGGTGGATAGCAATCAGACTATGGTGCAAAGCAGGATTGGATACTTGTAACTTATGGCTTGTAATACATAAGCACATTTAAAAATAAGAAAATGGAAAGCAACTCAAACAATTTCTTCCAACATATACACTGGTTTACAACACTACCGTATAAACGGGACTATAGGTCGAGTGGGAATATAGGTCGACCCCCCAAGTTCAGGTTACCGAAAAAGAAAAAAAAGGAAAACAACCCAAAACTGCCGAACCAAATATAGATCACTTTCTTCTCACATGCCGTCGCTTCGCCTCACTGCGCCGAATAATTCTTGAAAGACCGATTGGTATGCTCGGATTGCCAGTCAATACATCCACCCTATTATCGTTTGGAGCCAGTCAGTTGGGTGTGGGCCGCAGTGCTATTCTGTCAGCGCTACATAAATTCATTCAGGCAACCGGAAGGATACGCTGCTAGTGGTACTGCCAGATATATCCAATTCTTTCTCCCCCTTCCTCATTCTTGTTAATTTGTTTTATATATTCTGGTTTATCACATTCTGCAATTTTTCACGTTTTTTCAAAGGAACATTATTATTGTTCCTATCTAATTTCTCTTTATTTTTTTAGCAAGCGTTGTAAAAAATGATCTATTATAAGGTACAGTGTGGCCAATCCCCCATGTGGGTATGAGCCAAGATCTCCTAGGAGACAAGACAAGACATTTATTTGCGAATTGGGCGCACTCCATCCCGATCGTCGGAGCTCCCCTCTACCCCCATCGCAACTGTCGCATTGTCGCACCAACTGTTGCACCATTGCATTGTCTTGCGTTTGAAAATGACGAAGGGCGGAAGCTTTCTACCATCTGCCGTGCATGCCAGCATGACGGTGAAGCGCGAGTGCTCGTTGCCAGTGGACAGCAGCTTCGCATCCTTGGCGCCGTGCTGCATGATCGTGGTCGATGAAGGCATGTCAAACCACACGGAGGTCTCATCGGCGTTGCCGATCTGCCCCATCATGTAGTCGTTCTGCTCCCGAAGCCGGTTTACGAAGCGCTGAAAGTTTATGAGCTTGTCCTCGAACTCCTCCGGCAACTTTTGACAGATGGATGTGCGCCGCTGGAGAGAAAATCCTTTGCATCGCATGAATCGACGCACCCAAGAGTTCGGTGCACGAAACTCTTCTCTCGTGAGCCCAGCTTCCCGAGCGAGTTCCACGGCTTTCTTGCGAATGGTATCTACGCTCACTGGCAGCGAGCACGCACGAAATTCCCGCACAAAGTCCGCTAGCTTATCCTCCAGCTGCGGATGAACGGCACTTTGTCCACGAAACGACATTTTTCGAGGATAGCACATCTGAACTTCCCTTCCTGCACCCTCCAATAGCGCACGCTTTTTTCTGATACACCAAAGCGGCGCTGAGCAGCCATATTCCCGTTCGCTTCTGCGAACTTAACAACATCTAGTTTAAACGCAGCTGAGTACTGCCTCCTCGCACCACTAGACATATTCAGTGAACGAAAAAAAAAAGGCCACTAAAAATGCAGTGCAATGTCAAGCGGAGCGAAAACTCGGAACAGATCGGAAGCAAATCACCTACACAAAGAAAACAGACTGCGATTGGATTTGGATGTGGATATGGCCGTGTCTGGCTTCACAAGCACATGCAAGCCATATGTTGCCAGACAGCGTCGCACTTTCACCTAGAAACCGCTATATAAGACGAGGGGCGACGTTAGCTTATTATTTTATTGAAAAAATCTCGACCTATATTCCGGTTTATACGGTAGTTTGTGATGAAAGCTCAATGTTTTTGAAGAACACTAAAAGGAAACATTAAATCAGTATTATTTAACACTAGATTAGTATCAGTATAGTATTAACAATGCTTGTGTTTGCTTTGTTTTGTTTTTGCCCTCACTCTGCTTGACAATGTCTACAGTATTGAATAAAAAAAGAAAGAACACCACCAAACAACACTAAATCAGTTTAGACAGGTAAATTATTCTTCTGTTCTTAATTTCATCAGATTGGTTTATCATTAGATGAGACTATCAAGGGCAAAGTTTCACTGCGTAACCCCAGTGTATGAATATCGGTAAGACATTGCAGATTTCAGACTCTCTTTATGCATGTCGGCCACACTGGCTAAACACTGTCTTTTGAAATGGGTAATGTTAAACCTTTGGCTCTTTTAGAACCAATCGCGATTCATTTCCACCAATAAAATTCTAGACACTATAAAGCCGTTAAAATCTATGACAACACGGCGGCGGGTTGGTGCAGGAACCTCAAAACAGTGTTGCCATATAAATTTTTGTTAAAAGCATTTTCTGACTTACCAAGTGTATTCTCATAACAGTAGTGTTGTATGTTGCTATTGTGGAATGGTAGTAAACTAATCTAAGCAAGTAAACTCATTCTTCTCCTTAACACTCCTTAAGATATAAAAAGTTCCAAAGAGTGCGCAGTCTCGACGACCGTGTGCTGAGAAATGTCGGTGCACGTTACAGAATCCCAGGTGGTCATAGTTATACGAAACTTTCCACTACGGCATCTATCCCCTAGTCACTTTGGGACGTTGACCACTATCAAATAAGCATGCAGTAATGCACTGTCTGCAACGTTCCATTTCCTCTGCAAAGGCAAGTACGTACTATACAAGAGAGCAAACCTGGGAGGCATACCTTGCTGGAAGAACCTTGGGTCGGCTGCAGAAGTGCGGTCTCAGAATCAGCAGCAGCAGCAGCAGCAGTGGAAGAAGGCTCGTCCTCTCTCAGGGACTTCAGGACGTGCACAGCGCTGCTCAGGGTGGTCAGGTAGTAGCCGCCCTCGCCGGTGAGCAGAGAAGGGTGCAGCAGCCCCCACATGTAGTCGGCCTCCACCTCGGCCGACACCATGCCGCATTGCACCAGCACGTGCAGAAAGATGGGCAAGAAGTCTGCACAGACGAACCAGCAAGCTTGCGAGTCCGGCGGGCAAAGCTACGGCAGACAAGCAGCCTTGCGACGCGACCAAGGCATCCAATTCAGCACAAATTTGGGCTAGTCGGTACACTGCTTAGTAGGAAATAGCATTTAGTAAACAGGTACAATGTGCAATGTACAAGGCGCGGCTCCTCACGAAGTTTTTTCTTCATTGGTCTCTATTCCCACAGTATTATTCTCTACGAAGCCAGTGAAGTGTACAAAGGCTCAAGAAAATGGAGAGTACTTGTCAAATGCAAGTGAGATATTGATCCAGTTTTTTTTATTTTTTTTTTAATTTCGAGTTCATTTTAATGATTTTATTTTTGAGTTAGAGTATTCACACTGCCTGTCGGTTTATGCTGCTATAAAATATGCCTGAAACAAAACCATTTTTCTGCTGAAGCAAATGACCATGATTATTATTGATGGTATGGACAGACTTCAACTACTAAATTTGTTTGCATTAATAATGTCTGCATTACGCTTACCATGAGGGCAATACCATAATTACGTTTGTACTTACCATCAGCACCCAATGAAAAAGACTCGCCCTCAGGTTGTGACTTGCGGTCCCTCTGCACCTGTAATCACAGAAATATTCGAAGTCAGTACCAAATGTCTCGAACAAAATGTACGGTGTTGGAAATACTGAGGACATGCCACTGTAAGGTGGTTATAAATGTGCTTATGGTTTAAATGCTGCAGTCTGGCTGCCCCAGTATAAAAGTCCATCACATTAACTTCCGCAAGGCACCATTAGCACACATTTTTCTTTAGCAAAGCTCTTATTTTAGCAGCAATAGCTTGTTGCAAAGCCTCTTAAATTCAGACATAAATGAAATGGAGGGTATTGTTGCGAATTTCTTCCCAGCTGAGAGACCCTCCCCATCATATGTGCGATCCACGTCTAGAAGATTGATACAGGTTCGATATATCGTCAAATATTTCTACCTGCCGACCAAATCAAAGACAGCTCAGCTTTCCCAAAACACTAGGACGTCAGAGTCTGCAGCAGGACCACCACGATGTGCAGCAATTCGGTTCTTGTATTTGTCACTGCTTCAACAGTTGTCATAGCTAGCATAGACGTTCACGCTAAAAGCCCAGTGGGCACAACCTGATCCCGGGTCATGCGCACACTTAATATCAAAATAGTGGGGAGGTCTCTAGAGTTCCACACTAATAGAACACACACTATGTGCATGGCAGCGATGGCTATAACTGGGCATGTAGAAAAGAGCGAGCCACAGTGGCTGAGCGGAGGAGAGGCTATGCTGGTGCCATCGGCGAGCGCTGCGGCAGGCAAGCAACATGACCAATCCCAGCAAAACAAAAGAACTGACCATGTCTCTGTATCATATATAACGATGAGGCCTACTGATTCATGTCGTAAACAAATATCAAAGAACAGGTCGACTTTGAACATAGTCCATAATGCACTTCAGCAAAGAAAGCAGTATTGCAAGCCAATGAAGAGACTTCTTATATCAGCACAACTTTTAGAAAAGAAATTTTGAACAACTGTTCCTTAGGTATGAATGTTTAGCAGGCATCCTTGCACACCTCAATGCTTGCATTATACAGAGAGGCACACAGTTTCCACCTGGCATTTCTCTTCATTTTCGTTATTTGGACGGTACTGAAATTAATGATAGTGAGAGAGTAAAGATCAGAAGGCCACTCACGCTGCTATAGATGACAGATATGGCTGACAGCAAGTTCTCCAACTTCCTCAGTGGCGAGTAGGCCTTCTGCAGCTTGATCAGGAAATGTTGAACGAGCTCCAGCGTGACACCCCGTGGTGGCTCGAAGTCACTCTGGGTTGAGTCAAGAGGGACTCACATTACAACCATAGAGCGTACCTCTCTGGGAACACAAGGTTCATCGGTAATATTTGTGAGAGGACTGAAGGAGAGGAGATTGAAGCCTTTCATATGAGGCAACAGGGCTCAAAATGCGTCAGCAAAACTTTCATCTTATTAAAAGAGAAAGTGGTGAAAGATATTTGGACACAGGTTGTCACTGGAACCAACATTCTTTGTCTTAGCACTTTGATGTTTGCGCGAGAACATGCAGAGCTAATATTAAGGGAGAAAGGTGGCTGAAGTTTCTTATTCGTTATCACTGAGCTAAATACGTCATAAATCGAAATTCCTCTACCTTTATTCCAAGCTCCTGGGCTGTCTTGGTGCGGGCGTACTTCATGCTGTCAGAGAGCAGCTTCAGAGCACCAGACCTGAAAAAATTGCAACCCAGGTGACCAAAGCTCATATTGCATGGTTCTACATTACCTCAAAATACATCTGTGAGCATTTGCCTATATCCAACAAGGCACCACGCAACACACAAGGTTATTTTGCAGTGATTGTAGCAATGTCACGCCTTGCAAATTGAATTAAGCAGACTCGGTAACAATGAAGCCCTCCAAACAGAAATAGGAATATGTTCCAGGGTGTACATTAAAGAACTCCAGGAGCTTTGTTGAAGGAGCCACAACTCCAAATTTTCACTTAGAATTTGCGTAGCTATGTGGGTTAATCCTTGGGTCTTCCTAAACAAGCCGGCGAAAGTTCAAGAATGACGAAATTTCAGCACGTTTGTTCATGAACTTAGCTTACAATGAGCATATTATGAGCTCGCGAGTGGCCCGAGTGTCTGTCAAGAGTGGTGTACTCGCGAGCTGTGACGTAAAAAGCGGCTTGTTACATCACAGCTGAGCACACAATGGAGCTAATAGAGCTTTCTTCAATTTAACATGAAAAATTGAATGGAGTAAAGAAGTTATATAGGTAGAAGATGATGGCTGTACTCCACGAAGCACATGCCATCGCACATGCCAAGGCAAAATGGCAGTTGCCAGAGGTAGGTGGGACTTATAGCCGGCAACTTTGGGAGCTCATTTTGAAATAGAATATTTTGTTACAGTCCATTTTTTTAAATATGTACAGGCACACTAGACCCTTTACTTTTATATTTTTTTTGAAAACTGCAATTTGTTGGGTGACTATGTCACAATCCCTTTACCTTGTGGACCCTAACGCACCCACCCTCCTCACTTTCCTTCTACAATGGTCTCATTTCTTCAACCGGATTTCTAAAACTAATAAAAATAAAAATAATAAACACAGCACTCACTGTGTGTATTGCTTGACAAAAAGCTGGTACAGGTAGCGCCGCAGAGGCTTGATGACCAAGCGGTGCAGCGACACTTCGATGATCGCGTCAATGTTCATGAACTCGTCAGGCTTGAGCTAAAAAAAAGTGGGGGGAGGTTGGGGGGGTGTGCAGATAAGGCCCACTCTATAATATATTAGGCTTGGTCCACCACAAATTATGCCACGCTGCTGAATAAGCTTAGCTGACAGTATTTGCAGTCATCGGTTAACTGGACAGTGATTATGGTTAATTAGACATTACTTGTCAAATGACACTACCTCTGCCTTTTACTTACTTATACACACTCCGAACACAACAGTGCTAGAAAAACCAGCAACATGGCTACTCTGTAAAGCAGCCAATTCAAAGCTATACAATACGCTCTACTGTTGAAGAGAAGACACAAATGTACAGCAAACGTAACTTTTTTTTAGTTTATCTAGCAGGTGACATTGCAGCAGATATGAGTAGTGGTCAGGGGGTGTTACCCCTTTTCTAGCTTTCAGAATGAACTTGCAGATAGAGTATCAGCAATGTGCAAGACATACTATACCACAGTGCAAGTCGCACCCATGAGTGTGTTTCTTTAAAAACACCAGACCACATTTTACATCGGTAGAGTGGAAAAGTGGTTGTGACAACCAGCAGTGCGTCATTTACACGAATCATGTGCATAAGCTGCGATCATGGGAAAAACGATCCCTTAATATTTTGAAAATAGTGCAAAATAGACGTCAGGAAGTCTAGTAAGTACTATCCAAATATTAATCTTACAAACACGCACTGCTCTAAAGTGACAGAAAATGGATGATCCAATTAATAACCAATGCATACAGTTTTCAAAGAGCAGAACCATCATCACTCTTGTGGGAATTGAGGCTGGCCCGCTGCCTTTGCGCGGGCTTTCCCGCCTTTTCTGCCATTCTCATGTCCCGACATGTCTGCCCTCCTTGCTGTCTGCCGCGCTGGGAAGGGCGGAGTGACGTTTAACTCCCTCACCCGGTAGCGGATGTTGACTGTGGCGCCGCGCGGGGAGCCTCCCGAGAGGTTTTCGCGCGCTGCGTCGGGAGCAGTGAGATACTCTTCGGGACAGCAAACGGTGAGCCACGCTATCTTTTCCGTCCGTCGACTCCCGTCACTCGGGGGCTCGTCAGACTTCGCTGACGGCGCCTCGCGCCCGAGGCAAACGCTCACCTTTTGTTGCCCCGCTGCATACTCACGGCCGAAGGGCAGTACGGTGTCCTAGTGCGTGGCCTAGCTACGCCGACCCGTCTCCCTTCGAAGCCAACGCGAGCGCCTTTGCCCTCGCTCGAGCAACCGGGCCCTTTGTTCCGGTGTCTCCGTGGATCACCTTTACCGCGGAGACGTGCTCGTGGCACCCCTGTGTAGTACTTTGTGCCCGTGGCGTGGATAAGTCTACTTGCTTTCTCGCCGCGCCTTTTTGCAACGGGCTGTACTGCGTTGGTGTTGCCACAATAAAGTGTTGCGACTTGAGCAGTATCGTGTTTCCCGCCACGGCGACGGTTAACGCGTGCCCTGCGGCTCACTAAGACCGGACCCACGCTGGTGGCCGTACTCCTTCGGGATACGTGTACACCACACTGGCGCCCAACGTGGGGTGGCGGTAGCTAACCTCAGTCCAGCCCTGCTACTGCTGCTTAAAAAAAATATGATTACAAAGGAGAAACAAAAACATAAATAACAAAATAGACACATGACACTATAAAGATAACTGCGGAAGGGAACACAGAAAAGTGGGACTAGTGTTCGTGTTGGTGCTGAAGGGGGATAGCGTCCACTGCGCGGAGGGGCGGAAAAGGGCGTGACAGTGTCCGCTGGGTGCGATGCCCGAGTGCGAGGTCAGAGGTACGGGAGGGGGCTCACTGATGGCTCGTTGCTGCTCTTGATCAGCCGCGAGTCCGACGAAAGCCGCTTCGGTTGTTCGGAGGCCCCGCATTTCTGACTCGATGACGGAGCTGGACGTTGCGGGAAGCCGGGCCTCTCCGGTGGTCAGGGAGGCCGAACCAAAAATGGCTGCGAGGCGCCCTGGCGTTGGCCGGCAGCATATAGCTGCTCTCAGCTGGCCTCGCACAGGAGCCATGGTGGAAAAAGGCAGCAGGGCTTCCTCGGCGACAGCCGAGAGCAGAGCACAGCCAGATGGTCTGACGTCAGCGTGTCAATGCCTCCCAGCACCTCCAGTGCCCGCGTCGATGGGGGGGAAGCCATGACGCACTCTTCGCGGGCTCGCACTGAAGCGTCACGCACTTGCACACGCACAGGAAGCACATACGCACACACACCGCCGACAGCTGCGCGAGCGTAGGCGCAAAGCGTCCTTCGTCTCTCTCTCTCCCGGCAAGCACCGACACTCAAGGTCACACACAGCTTCTCTCTCTCCCGGCAAGCACCGACACTCAAGGTCACACACAGCTCCCTTCGCGGTAGACGAAACGAACACGAAAAAATGTAAACACAGAGCAAACTGACACTAAACATCTGGCAAAAAACATAAAATACAAATAACATTTAATATTAGACAAAAGAAACATAAAATACACATGAACACTTGAAAAAAACTGGCAGCAGACAGGGCGCGGTCAACTTCTTTACGAGAAAAGGCCGTAAAGAAGCTAACATATACTGAGGCTAGACAGTAAAACTGAGGGCCTTTGGTTGCGGAGAAGTCCGCCGTCCGGCGCGAAATCACAAAGGTGACCGCTTCCTCAGATTATACCGGTGCGGGGTCCGAATGCGGTCCGCCGCCCCGGGTGTGCCCGTTGCTTGCGCGAAGTGCCGTAGGGCACTGGCGCGAGCTCGTCAGACCGTGACAAAGGGCTTCAGGTCTGCGATGTGGGCACGGCTGAGTTTTCCCAAAGGGGATCTTTCAGCTAGTACGCGCCACGGACTCTCACTGACAATCGGTTCATAAGACCAGGCGGCTTTCCAACCCTTGGCTCAACCGTTTGTCAGACGTGGCAGGCACGGAATAGCGATAAAAGCCACGCTTCGTGCCGGGCCAGGTCACAACATCGCTCAGTTTGCAAAAACTTTCGAGCCACTCAGGTGACCGGCCATGGATTCGTCGTGAGAGGATCGCAACAGTGCGGCTCTCAGACTTTTGGGCATAACCACCTTAAACGGGTCTATGGACTCGTCGTCAGTGGCTATATACTTCAGCAGGAGCCCGTCATGGTCCAGCAAAATGAATCCGCCGGGGACTCAGCGACACACGCTGTTTCAGCCCCCTAATCGCGCCCGCCGCAGAACAAGCAGCGTAACGGCGCTCCGCTCCTCGTCAAGACGGTTTAACGGCGCCCGCCGCAGAGCAAGCAGCGTATACGGCGCTCCGTCCCTCCGAGATTCGAAACGGATCACCCTGCTGAGCCTTCAGTAGCTCTTCGCTGCTGAAAGCGATTCCCATTCTCCCAAAATGGGGGAAGTCTGGTATCGCGCCCACTCAGGACCGCAGCAACAACCGCTCGAGTCGGCGTTACGGGTTCGCTCTCGGCCTCGTGGCCTTCGGAAAGCTCCCCCGCTCGGCCGCTTCGCGGTGCGCCGCTTACCTGGTTAGCAGCCAAGGTTTGTCCGCATGGGGACTCACCCTTCTCGCCGAATGGCGGCGAAGCTACTGTTTCGCCCCCGACGCTTGCATGTGCTAAGGCACCGCGAGTGGCCGTCGCACCGAAATCCAGGTTCTCGGCAGACAACAGGGGGCACGAGATAGCGCGTCAGCTACCACGTAGGAGTGTATTCACCACAAAAAGGGGTGACGACACAGGCGAGCGCCGAAGGGCGCCCGTCGACACAGGCGGTGGCCTCTTTGTGCAACGCGGCATGCCACGAAGCAGACATGTTGCGACGAGCCCGAATCGCGCAGGCGAACTGACTCGCTAGAGCAGTCAAAAGCTAGAGCGAGCCGCAGGGCACGCGTTAACCGTCGCCGTGGCGGGAAACACGATACTGCTCAAGTCGCAACACTTTATTGTGGCAACACCAACGCAGTACAGCCCGTTGCAAAAAGGCGCGGCGGGAAAGCAAGTAGGCTTATCCACGCCACGGGCACAAAGTACTACACAGGGGTGCCACGAGCACGTCTCCGCGGTAAAGGTGATCCACGGAGACACCGGAACAAAGGGCCCGGTTGCTCGAGCGAGGGCAAAGGCGCTCGCGTTGGCTTCGAAGGGAGACGGGTCGGCGTAGCTAGGCCACGCACTAGGACACCGTACTGCCCTTCGGCCGTGAGTACGCAGCGGGGCAACAAAAGGCGAGCGTTCGCCTCGGGCGCGAGGCGCCGTCAGCGAAGTCCGACGAGCCCCCGAGTGACGGGAGACGACGGACGGAAAAGATAGCGTGGCTCACCGTTTGCTGTCCCGAAGAGTATCTCACTGCTCCCGACGCAGCGCGCGAAAACCTCTCGGGAGGCTCCCCGCGCGGCGCCACAGTCAACATCCGCTACCGGGTGAGGGAGTTAAACGTCACTCCGCCCTTCCCAGCGCGGCAGACAGCAAGGAGGGCAGACATGTCGGGACATGAGAATGGCAGAAAAGGTGGGAAAGCCCGCGCAAAGGCAGCGGGCCAGCCTCAATTCCCACACTCTCATTATGAATCCTCAATTCTACCCATAGGTTGGCGAACTCACTCATGAGTAGACTAACTTATACTCAAATCAAGCCGCGAGGCTGAGTGAGTCCAGGTGAGTAATATTTTGGCGATTCCGAGTCCGAGTGAGTTTGGACAAGAAAAATTTTGACAAGTCTGAGTCCAAGTGAGTCCAAAGCGCTAAATTTATTTATTGAGCGAGTCTGAGTAAGTTCTACTTTTTTTTACCGACATAAGACTCCTGTCTAGTATCTTCAGCATTACTATCAGCCTTACATGAATCAAGGTTTACACTTACGTCTATCCACACATTTCAAAGCAGCGTCGTTCATACACCGTTTCAATATTTATTGACCAGAGGCGTGCATTACATAAAGGGTGCATTGATGTCCCCCCCCCCCCCCCCCCGCCTCTGCCAACTCTCCCAGGGAAGTTCTTTATAAAAAAATATGTTATGTAATAATCTTATCCAAGAAAAATGATCCAACTGATTTGCAAGCACTCATAAGTCGTATCAAACGGCGCCAAAAAGAGCACTGATTACGCGACATAGTGGGGTTAAAGGGCATTGACAACTTGGTTGAGAAAGCTAATTCCAGGCTTTCGAACTCATGAGCTGAATCATTCGGACTCCGATCGAGCAGTGAGTGTGGGTCTGAGCGAGTCTGGGTAAGTAATAATTTGGCGAGTTTGAGTCCGAGTGAGTTCGGCTGAAGAAAATTTTCGTGAGTGTGAGTCCGCGTAAGTCTGGCTCAAAAAAATTTTGGTGAGTCAAAGTTCGAGTGAGAATGAGTTGCAAAGCGCGAAATGTATTTTATGAGTGAGTGTCAGTGAGCTCAACAGGTTTTGCTGACCTATCATTATACGACGTAAGCCATTTTTGAATAAACAGTTATTATAATTAGCACAAAATTTATTACAACTTGCACACAATTTATCTTTAACTTCATAATGTAGCGACAGAAGTGGCCTGCTGTACAACACCTGCGTAGCAACTTTTGTATGAACTGAAGACTGGCCGGCAAAAGCCATTGTTGTAAACTCACCTTGGACTGCTCTTCTTGTACAAGTTGCTCGAACTGGCCTTCTCCATGCTTGAGCAAGTAGTTCTTCATACCACTCATGAACTGCCGGATCTGCAAGAACAACAGCCAAACTTAATTTGTTTTCAATACGGCCAGCCTCTGCTTTGAGACCATAACAAGTGGTAAAATTGCTACAATGTGAGTGTATTATTGCATAAAAACGGTCGTTGAAGGTCTTCGATGGTAAAAACTTTAAACTTTTTACTAAGATTAAACAGGAACTTAATTAAAAAACAAGACTGTTTTTTTGGGTAAAACCCAGCCTTTCGTTTTGGTTCTCTGATCGCAACTGGCAGGGTGCATCCTCGCGTTCCTGCTCGCACCCCAAAGGGGAGCACACTCTCTCTCCCTCTCCCCGGAGTCGCCACCCTCGGTGCCGTAAATCTACCAGCGCAACATATCCGTCCGCTACAGAGCACTGTTCTGGTGTTGCCGCAGTCCATCACCTCTCCTGACCTTGAGATAACAGCGGCGGACCCGGAGGGGTGAAAGGAGAGCTAGGCAAGAAAATGCAGTTACAACATGTATAACATGATACAGAACATTTCAGACAGCAACTTGTATATATACTAGACTAAATAGCTCAGTTACAGTACATGTATCTATGCACTACAGTGTGAAGAACACTATTAGACAATTAATGAAATTTTCTCTAGCACATTACAAGTATTTACAACCTAACAATACATAACTTGATACAATCCCCCAAAACATAATAAATTAATGTTAAACACTGTAAGAACAGTTTTACATAAGCACGAGTCTTGCTTCAGTGGCAAGGGTTCATAATTGGTTTTAAAAAGTAAGCAGACTGCATCCCAAGACAAATTTTTCATATTTTGTTTTAATGTCCAGCCAGGTTCAGTCATTTGAAGTTACGTGCAGCTAGATAGCGGTGCAATTCAAAGCACAGCTCAATTTTTGCCACGAAAACAGTCTACAGAGGTTGCACAATAATTTTTGTACATTCAATCATTGTCGTCATCCTTGAAATGCTTCCCAGCTATCTTCACACGCCTCCAGGAGCGTGCCGAAATAGCCTAAAAGCCCCAATGTTCGTATGCGGCATGTCGTTACGCGAATTCAGTTTATGTACGTGACACAATCCAACTCGACAAGGGAAGGGCCAACAGAACAGGAGATGCTTACGTTTCTCATGACCACAGCCGGAGATGTTTCACTGCTCTCGCGTGTGCACTGGATGAAGTTCTCTATCGTCATGGCAAACGTTGTGTTCCTCTCTTGCACCAATCTGAGAAAAACAGTTGAGCATAGATTCAATCAGTCACGATTATTGCAACACACAAATAGCTTTGAGTAAAAGGGATTCTCAGAAGATGCATGCTCGAGGGGAAGCAAGGCTGGGGAATTATGTCTTCGAAATTGACGAGTCTCTTCTGCATTTGATTCATAGCCCTCAACTAACGCGCTCCGAAAAGCCTGGTCTCTCTGACACCCTGACATTTGTTAAGATGTGCAAGCTATTTATCGCTTTGACACATTGCTTTACGCTTTGGCAATCTTTGTATTTCCAATTTCACCCAAAATAATTACATACTTTTTGTTTTTATTTATGTTCAAAAGCTTGGTTTCTCTATTTTCACAACAATAACAAAAAAGTGAAGATTGTAATTGAAATATAAATAGGTGAAAATTTCTTTTAAAGAGCACAAGATGGCTACTAAACTATGAACTAAAAAGACCTCATTGTCTAGAGTCCCCTGCAAATTTGTCAGCAGGCTGCTTGCCATTTCACTTTGCATGGGGAGTTCACAAAAGCCACATGCTCAAAATAACAATGACTGCAAAGCTCTCATTACGGAAGAAATCATTTTAATAAACACATTTTTGCTGCACAGATGAGCTTTGAATTATACCTTTCAAATGAGTTTTTCTCAAGATCCATTTTTGGGCAATTTCTGGAGTTTAGACATCATCTTTTTGGTACTTCTGATGGTCACATCAGGATGAAATTTTCACAATATTTCTTAACATGTGAAGAGTGTAAGTATCTCCTTTAAATCTTGATATCGCCTGTATAAGTATTACAAAGCTAATGCAAGCAATTATGGGCTGAGGATACTAAGAATTCTTACATAACAATTCTTCTTATTCAACAAAATGTCTTTTACACACTTTTTTTATAGTTATTTGCGTTCTACAGTTAATGTGGAGTAATATGAGCCATTAATGGCTCAGAACCATAAAAGTTCAGTGGCATAAAAAATTTGTACAAAATGAACTATACTTTACACATTATCGTGACACAAAACGAAAACTGTGCAACTTACTGTAAAACTAACTACATATTTAAAATCAGCATGAAAGCCTATATATAAGTAAAATATTTCATTGCCCTGGGCTACAGATTAACGAAACATTTCTTTTTCAAATCACATCTCCCTTTAATGGTGGAAATAAAATAAGATCACCATATGTGTAAAAAGCCAGCCCATTCCAAAGCTATACTTATGAGGCAAACGTTGGAAGTAAAACGAAATCATTATTAATGCAGGAAATTTGCAAACGTAAATCATATTGAGTGCAGAAATAGTAAACAAGGTGTGGTTGTGGGCAAGAAGATAAAACAAATTTTTATCCCTTGAAGCTAAACTATTCGGCAATACTATTCCACATCATCTAAGTCCACTAGCACTTTTATAATAACATTCGAATGTTCAATGCCATGTTATTCGCATCACGTGGCCATTCTATTATCTACAAAACTTGAATACTTCAGCAATTCGCCACAAGGAAACCTAATGCATTTAACAATATACAGCTAAATGTGTCTGACAGAAAACGTCTTATGATAACCAGGGAGGCTAGCCTAGTGTAAAGGTTAGTGTGGTACTTCAGGCGTTACAAGTTACAAGAAATCAAATAAAAACAAAACACGTATGCACAAAACACACTGACACACAAAACTATTGCTGCAAGCAATCCATCAGCACTAGCGTGAAATAAATGACCTTGCCTGCAGCACAGTACCAGGAAGCAGGATTTTAAATAGCGCGAATTTTCGCGCCTGAATGGTAGTGCTACTTCGAGCATCTAACGCCGGTTTCATAAACACTCTGACTTGAACTTAGATATAAGCCGCCTTCAATGCAGAGCGTTTGAAACGCGTCCGTGCGTTTTTGCTGCCTTGCCACTGCCCAAAAGACAGCGCATTCGAAACGTGTTTGTGCTGCATTGAAGTCGGTGGCAAGTCAAGTTCAAGTCAAGCAGCGTTTCTGAATACGGGGGTAAGAGTTTTGTTTGGGTAATTTAGTAATGAGAGAAGAATCGTTCTTTTCCATGTCTCCGGGTGCCCATTTAGGGCATGAAGATCTGCCATTCAGGTCTTTTTATGCAGAAGCATTTAATCAATAGACATCCTCGCCTAAGTGGGACCGAAGAGTGGTCTAAGTATACACAGCCTGCTCAAACGGAATATACGCAGAATCAACTTACTTGAATATATAGCTCTTAACATCAGCACCCACAGTGGAGTCCCTTTTGTACAGCCCTCCCAATTTCCTCGAAGCTACAAGACAAGCAACAAAATTACAAACACGACAGACAGTCAAGTATAATACAAATATATAACACAAGGATAATATTTCACTTAAAGAACTGACCCAACAGCATGTCCAGGTGCTCCTGGAAACCGCTAGACCGCTTGTGCTCCAATGCCAGGGTCGGACACTCCGACAGAAGCAAGTCCTCACCGCTGACGCCCGACGCCGTCTCCAAGGAGTCAAAGGATACCTTTGACTCTTCCACCTTAATAAAAACAACAACCCTTTGCAATCAGACTTGGGCTTCTTGCGGCTATGAAGGAACACGGGTAAATTCACGCCGAATAAAGCGTGTATGAATTTATAGAAGTGTCACACATTCACTTTCGATCACAATCGGGTCCAATTTAGGTTAGGCTTGATCTGGAGTCAGTTTTGATTGTGATAGGGATCCTAGATTACAGTTTAGATGATGCTGGAGCCTTCTAGCTGATAACGAGAAAAGAAGGTGAAATCAAATGAAAGACACATAAAAAAGCTTTTCGTAAGCAACAGCATGCTGTGAAATCAAAACTGAACTTATTTTGAAATTTCACATTTTTTTAGCTACAGTCCAGCAGAGTTCCATGGGTCGTAGATGAATGACAGATAGCTGTTACATATATATGATCCATCACAACAAATAATAATATAATGAAAAATGGGGCTCATGATACAACTTGTTCACCACACAATAGGCAAACTTCGTAAGTGGTTGGACACACTAACGACACCCAGTGCTCACATTGACCTAACCCAAACTTGACCCAGATGGCTGAGCCGTGCAGCAGCGATTGCTGTCGATAGCAGTGAGAAAAAAAATAAACCAGACATGATAGGACTTGTTTGTCATCAAGAGCGACCATGTGTGAATAGAATAACCTTTATACTTTAACATTCACTGGCAAGCAAGAAACACAGAAAAGGCAAAATGCAGCAAAGCTATATAGAAGACCATATGCCATTTTATTTTCTAAAAGCATGCACAAAAAGGACGTGCCATTTTAGAGCATGAACTGCTTTGGTTTGCCAGAACTAGCACAGAATGTAGCAAACATGCTATATTTTCTTGTAGTGCTAAGCCTATGTTGAACTTATTACCAACCCTCATGCTATTGAGTTCTCAAAATTCTGTGTCACCTTTTAGAGATTAAGGTTGTGTATAGCCCAGTAACACAATGGTTGGATATTATTCCGATAGATCCATTACGCATTGAGACGTACTGAAAAAGTACCGGAAGGAAAATAAACAATTGCAATGTGTACGTATCGTGTACTGTAAAAATTGGTACCGTAAGCTAAATCCCTGACCTTGCTTTCCGGTGCATCTGGAGAAGACTCCACCAATCGAAGTAGCCTTTCCCACCGCAGACTGTCCCAGGGCTCACAGAACTCAGTTAATGCGTCGTCTTCACCGTGATTGCGCTTGCTGCTGCCGTCGGTAGCGGCACTCTCGGCTACTGACACAGCATCGAGATTGTCGTAACGCGAAGCTCTCAGCACATTACCTTCAGTCAATGTAGAGACCGGAGGCACTCTCAAGTCTGGCATGGAAATTCCGATGATCTCTTCTACGGTAGACACGTTTTCCTCAAGTCCACCAGCGTCGGAGTCATCTGCGCCTTCAACGGGAAACTTGAGGTCTCCAACATTACTGTCGTTATCCTCGTCGTCACTCGAAACGAGCCACCTCCACGAGGGGTCTACTGACCACGACCGACCACATCGACTTGGAGGTCCGTCCTCTGAGCTACCGCGCAAAGCTGGAGCAGACACTGCCAGCAAGTGGTCAGAAACACATGAGTTCGTCTCATCAAACGTAGTCGTCAGGTCTGAAGAACGGTGAGTACTGCTTCGTAGAGAGTGAACGTTAGGTTCCGAATGCCGCATCAGGGGTCTTTCCCGGCGCCCCGATGCAGACGGCAACCCCTCGTCGATCTGCAGTGGTTCGAGCGCAGAGACCACAAGGAACAGGGAGTCCACAGGTTCACTGTAGAAGGGGCTAGTAAACTGGCCTGGCTGGGATTTATCGTTAACCATGCCGGGCATAGAACGGGACAAGTTCCGCGTTTGCGCAGCAGCATCGATGCCCTCGGGCATGGATCCGCCTTGTAGTTCCGTCTGCGTCGCCTGGCACACGAGGCCTTCTGGCTTGAACGTGGAAAGCACGGGAGCGGGACTGTCACCGCCACGTCCATTGGCCGTCCCCCAGATGTCCTCGTAGTCGCTGATTTTGTCGGCGAGACTGCTCGAGTAGTATTCGGGTGACGACTCTGGCAGTTTTCGTCGCCTGCGTGGGGACGGTTTCATGAGACACCGAGGCTTTTCCTCCTCCACTGGAGTAGGTAGCTTGGTCTTGCTGGGTGCAGGCTTAACAGATGCCGACTTGACAGGTGCTGACTTCCCAGAAGCTGACTTGACGGATGCAGACTTTTCAGGTGCCGACTTGATGGATGTCGCCTTGTCAGGCGCAGCTTTGCTGGGTGTTGCCTTGCTAGGGGAGGCACTTTGGGTCGAGTCCACACCGACGTAGAATGCCGACCTTCCGGCCACTTCGGACATGAGGGCAGCCTCACTTTGGTCGGGTGGAGAAGGAGGATCCGCAACCTGAGTTGCTAATTCACCGGTGTCGGCTGTGGAACTGTGAAGCGCGAGAAAGTTCGGCCTGGTGGCTGGCACGGGAGGCTGTCTTGACGACGGAGTTGACAGGCGAGCTCCTCTTGAAGCTTGACACGTGGATGTTGGCGTTGTGGTCCGGATTGGGAGACACCTGAGAAGAGGCGCACGACACACTGGACCCCGTGCTTGACGGAGCGGACTTGAGCAAGCTTGACACCCACAACTCTGAAAGAACACGTGAAGTAAATGTCGCTACGTGGAGCTACGAGCACTTGGAAAGTATATCAACGAATAACAGCAGAGTTAGCACCAAAAATGTAGTAATAATATCTCAGGTTTTAGGTCTCGAAACCACGATATGATTATGAGAGACGTAGTTAAGGGCTCCAGAAATTTCAACCATCTGGTGTTCACAAGCAGTGACATAACACAGTGCCCAAGCCTCTAGCCTCCATCGAAACGCGACCACCGCTGCCGGAATCGAACATGTAATATTTGGGTCAGCAGGCAAGCACCAGAACTACTTAAACACCGAAATATAGATCGAATTTTTTTCAAAAAAAGAATACGCCATGAGAAGTCGACCCTCATCCTATATACCGGTCATTGGCAGAAACAAAATGTGGAAGTCTCACAATGGGCAGCTGAAGTCGAAAACTTCTATTGCCACCGTGAGCATCAGCAGCGGCGCCGTTAGGCAAGGGCTTACAGTGTTCTCGCAACGCCATTTCCCCTCGACTATCTGCTGTTTCCTTTTTTCCATTTCCTTCTAAAATGAATGGTAGTCGACAACAGTCTACGATAGGTGATAAGAAAAAAGTTGTCGAGTATGCCGAAGCACATGGCAAACCGGTGGCACAACGGAAATTCGGTGCATCGGAGAAAAACGTTCGATACTGAAAGAGCCAAAAGAAGCGCATCACATCCTGCAGCAAGCGAAAAAAAAAAACACAGTTCCATGGACAGACTGCAGTGCACCCCGAACTGGAAACACTACTCGTCGAATTCGCCCAGGAGCTGCATGCAAGGTCGCTACCCGTAACAGAGGAGTGTGTCTGCATGAAAGTTCTCAAGATAGCACGCGACTCTGGGCTCACGAGGGTGCAACTTAAGGGATCGCCATATTGGGTGCGCCGATTTTTGAAACGGAAGGACTTTGCGCTGAGACGGCGTACATTCGTCATTCTGCAAATTCTGCATCAGTAATGCATTGAATGGAACGGAGGCTGATGCTCTGGGACGTCGGACTGCAAGTTCGGACGAGTCTGAGTGACAGCCCTTTGTGGCTTTCTGGAGTTTAACTACATAAAATTAGTGTCCAAATAAAAATAAATGTCACCAAAGTGCAGCTGGTTGTATCGCGTATTTACCATGGTAAGGGTGCGCCGCAGTACTTTGCGATTTCCAAAAATTTCTTTTTCGGAGATTCAAAGTTTGGCGGGGTCAACCTTTATTTTGGTTTCCATGGTCCATGGCGGGCAATAATATCATAAGTTACTGAACAAAATTGCTTAATGGTAAAAATTGTTTATGAAGTTTGGCAGCTGAATAAAATGTGATTGTATGCAGGGGAATATTGCAATAGAGTATACACTGTGCAGTTTTAGAGTTCTCTCAGGCATATTTTTGGAATGAAAAGCTTGATTTTGACACTAACTCCCTATACATCATGACAACAGCAAACTTGGTAGTATAAACTACCTTTATTAGCTGCTGAAAAATTGGTGAAACTGGTCAGCAATAATAAAATGAGCATAGAAAAACCAAGTTCGCTTGCAAAAACAAAAGACAGAGTGCAGGTACCTTGGCCCAGTAGGGACAGGGCAGACAACTCCTGCCTTGAGGTCGCCTCAAGTAAAACAGTAGGCAGGCACAGCTGTACAGGCAGTTCGTCGCTAGGAAAAGAAAAAGAAAGCAAGAAATGGCTTTTAGTTTTCACTTTTACACACGAGCAACGATACGGCAACGAACTCGCGAAACAAGCGTGGCCACATTTATTTCAGCCGTGCCACAAGCGGGTGACAGAACTTTTCGGTCTCAGTATGTCACAAACTGCTAATGACGACTTCGAAACATAAAAGATTAACGTTAGCTTTGTTTTATGAATGTACTAGGCATGCATTACAGCCAAAATAGCCTAAGGCACATCAGAATAGACCAAGACATTGAACAGAACCTTTATTGTACAGGACACTGTCAAAAAGAACACAGGAGCCTGCGACAGCGCTCCTTGGTGTGCGACTACCAGCGCCTGTCATAGGCATATGGCGCAAGCACAGTCTGTGAGTGGAACAATTTACCGTATGCCGCCCTGCTGCCGACAGATTCTATTGACGCACATGTTTTCCTGAGGATGTAAAAATTATTTGCAGTTTTATTATCCACTGATCCTTTTTGTTGATTGCTTACTTTCAGTGCCATGTTGCTTTCCCTTTCTTTTGATAAAAAATTAAAAAATAATAAAAAATGCGATTCTCACAATCCCACTTAATTCATTGCTGTTATGATGAGCTTGGTTGCATTATTGTTGTATGTGTGCGATGATTGGATTATTGTATGCTGTGTTATGCTTGGCTTAATTGCTTACTGCCTGTACCATTCCTGCTTGGGCTCCATGCCTGCAGTATCTTGTAAATAAAATAAAAAAAATAAAAAAAAGCTCTCGGTGTGTTGTCCACCCTGGTCCTTCACTCCGCCGCTCACGCAGATCAATGGTAACGAATACAGTGCGCAGGTGTACCACCTATTGGGTTTACTGCGGCTGCGCTGCAAGCCTCTGCCAGGTGTAGGCGGCGGTGCTCCAAGAGTGCTGCCAAAGAGTTCTGTGTGGCTTCTCAGAGGCCGCTTCTGCACATGACCTTGACCATTGGCGGCACGGGGTTTACAGCAGCGTTTACTACACGGGCGTGACCGACTTACTCTTGCCATTTGTGCGTCCTTGTGGCAGCAGAGGGGGAATGAACCGTGTGCCAATAGCAAGATTCTTGTTACCCAAGTTCTTATATATTACTTCTAGGTGAAATATTTTGCTACACATGATCACTTTAGTAAAGACAGTATACTACAGTGATGAGTGAGATGGACGTTGTGAGAAATTTTGAAAGAATTTTTTTTTGCTGCCACAATCAGATAAACTGTTAGATGCAATGTGAGCGATATAACGAAGAAATATGGCATGGCTAACAGTACAGTACTTAAACAATTAATTATGTTGCAATTGCCATTATTTTCAGGGAAACACACTACAGTTTAATCAAACATTTTCAGTCGCTTTAAATTGCGACTCCAGAACCTTGGCATTGACTTGAACAAATTTGATGCACTTATGGATGGTAGATAATAACACGCATCGCAAAGAGGTAGTTCAGAGTAGAAAAGCTCAATTGCACTACTATAAGATTACGAAACGTAGCCGACTCTACGAAAGCAAACACCCACCAGCACTGGCAGTAGTGGTTGACCAGCACGGGTATCGAGGCGAAATGGTTCTCGGACCCTTCCAGGCAGTGCTTGGCCTCGGCCGTGGCTTCAATGAGGTAGTGCTCGATGTACGGCCCCGCATCAACAGGTAGCCGCACAGACAGCGCTAGGGTGCCCTTTTTGCTTGACTGCCGCACTATAAAATTCTGGTGAGAAACGCGTTTAAGGGGTGACATGGGTTTTAAAGATAACGTGGGCTATTTCTTGAACAAATTAGGTGAAAACTCACAGCCTTGTTCAGTTTCTTGAGCTTGTTCTAACTATCCAACTATATTTATTGCAGGTCAATTCTTTTCTGAGATCATTACTAATTACATTGCATTTCTTGCTTAATTATGGATACAGGTTTAACAAGCAGCACAACTAGTAAAGCCTTGCTACCACGAAATCTTGAACAAGCGCCCTGCCCACTCCCATTTCACTGCTAGTTCCAAGATTTGGCATCATTCCCAAAAAGCAGCCAACCCCACCACCCTGCACGCACTGCAGCCTGATCATGCAGTGCATCCGGAACTGATCTCAAAGCACCTGCACCTGAAACTTGTCTTTAAAATTTGCTTTTTTCTCCTGCATAATGCTTGCATCCTGAAAGGGTGCAGGACACCTATGACAATTTTCGATTTCCTGTAGGCAAAAACACGGTCTACGAGATCAGTATTAGAAATTCAATGATGGTGCCTGTAACACACTGGTTGGAATAAGCAAGAATTCCGAGATCTGAGTCTGTTGCCCGAAACTGTTGCATCGGCATGGGCTCATTATAGAAGGTGCTTCCATGCTACGCTCCAAAAAGTCTCATTGCACTGCCTTTGCGATTATCATGCACATGAATCATTGCAACGTTCTGTGCCATGATCGAGAGCCAGAAGACTTCCGAGGAAAGCCATGTGCACCCTTTTTTTTTTTTTTTTGCAGAAAGACCCTTCCTGGATTTTACGGTAATTGGTTTATTTATTCATTCCTATTTCAGCTGTGACCTATAAGTGCCTGTTCGAGTGATGTCACAGAACGAGCGCTAAAAACGGGCGCGCCGCCAAATGCTTGCGATAACGCGCCCAGAGAGACGCGGCGAGGTCAACGAAAAAAAATAAAAGAAAAGAGAAAACAAGCGTCCAAGGCTCCCCGGGCGCGCGGCGCCTCTCCTCTCGGAAGCGTGGCTTCGCCGATGAACCTCCTCACCCCACAGCGGCGGCCGGGCAAGCACTGGAACGTTCCAGAAGGAAATGGGCGTGTATGCCGGGTTGACTCATCTGTCGGGGACGGCCCCCATACAGTCTCGCGCCTCTCCCCAGCCTTCGCTGCGTATCGCGCCGACGAAATGACAAGAACTTTCTAGAATGTGGCACGGAAGGTATTTAATCGAGCGGCCGAGACGAGAGATGAGGAGGAGACGAAAGTTAGCGCAAGAGCGCGTAGGGTATACCGCCGTGTAGTCGGCGAAGGTTGTCCGTAGGGACGAAGCAGGAGATGAAGAGGATTTCCACCTGAGGGGTGAAGGCCCGAACTACAGGCAAGAGAGTGTGTTTACCGCTATCGAGCGAAGACGCGTGGCGACAGCTGCGTGTGTGAAGCCGACGTGTTCGGGCGAAGAAGTTTGAAGCTTGGAGAGTGGCCAATTGAAGACGCGAGGTTTCCTGGAAGAGAAACTTCGAGGGCGCGGAACGACAACAACGCTGGACTTTGAGTGAGTGATTCTCGGAAGAGTATCATTCAGACTTTTGTTCCAAGGACTTTGGACTGAATAGGTTTTATATCTCTTTAGTCTTTAAGTGTCCTGGTTGTTCAATGCATGCGGCTGCATTGTAGTGCGTATCGTTGTCTGTGTCCGCTGTTTTGAGTGTGGCTGATTGTACTGTGTAGTACGTTGTTTGATTGGTGACGTATTGTATGTAACTATTGTGGAGTGTGCATTCTTGTGTGTTGTTTTCGATCTGCCATTTTTGAGAATATAATATTTGTTTTGTTTATCAACTCTCGGCTCTGACTTGTTCTTTGGGCCACAGCCGGCGTCTGCTGGCGCGCCAAAAAGGACCACTTCTAAATTGTCCACGCTTTCGTGGTGCGGTTCGGGGGGCCAATACTTCAGCCCTTGGAATTAGCCCGGCGATCGCCTCCCTAATTAACGGGACTGGTGTGACAAGTGATCCAGCTCAATTAGAAGATTTATATGACACAGACAGTTTTTTATTTTTATTTTGTTACCTCTGAAACACATGATACACTGCGCACTGGCTCATACTGCCTCATATACGTAGCATACACACAAAACTGCAAATGTTCATATTTGCGAAATTCTACGAAAGAGAACAATGAAATAAGAGACTGGGGTGCAGCACTTATTAAAGAAAACTGCAATAATTTGCATTGAGCAAGGCCCTTTATGGAATAACAGACACCTTATTTATTTAGTACGATAGTTGACAGCAGTTAACGATAAGATTTGCAAAGCACAAGCAACCGAATATATTTACCACCCAAGACTGACAAGAAAGACATCTCATTCACATCACAGCAACATTTGCACTAAACTTGCTGGGGTAGCGATATTTTTCTGCTTCAGGAGCTTTCGAATGACACGCTTAAAAAAGCAGGTTACCTTCCAGAGTTACGACACCATTAAACTTCAAGGGCATGGTTACAGAAGCACACGCAAAGCTTTTCCACAAGTAGAACCTTTCACGAACCTTCCGTGCAACGTTAATGAAGTCTTACAACTTTCTCAAACAAGCGGCCTGCAGGCCCTTTCGCTAGTGGCCTCACCTGCACGTGACTGTCTGCTTCCCATATTTTTAAATTTTATTAATAACTATGTTCATGAGTGCAGTGACGTGGCCAGTCTTAAACATTTATTTCGTGAGATATCCCATTCGATCATAATGTACCGAAACATAACAGGGAAATCGAAACTCTGTATACACTTAAACCTCATAATAAAAATGTTGCATCTCCCACGAAAATAAGTTTGTTATATCCGAAAATTCGTTATAAAGATATCTTCCTAACACGATATGAATTGCAAGACTAATTCTTCATTTACTTTGTTATAACCAATATTTCATTATATCAGAGTTTGTTACATCGAACTTTGAGTGTATATCAGAATTTTCATTTAGATATTTGTAATTCTCGGGATCAGCATCGATGCGTTTCAGGACATGAAATCCTCTTAAAAAACGACCCATACATGGGATATGTAATAGGCCTGCTTTTAAATGGCAATGTTAGCACTTTGTTTAAACTCTCCTCCTTCCCCACTTTCAACTTTTTCATTCTTGCAGCCGTCGCGGAGGACTAAATTTTGTGATTGCAGGCAGCTACATGAAGGTAGGCGAGTTTGAGACCTCTGCCTTAAAACATACCCAAATTTTCATTAAGGACGATAGTCTTTCTTGGAATACTTCAAAGCAAAAATTTTGGTCTCTCTGTTAGGTGTCTGTCTAACAATTCAGCTACCCAGCGAAAGTTTAACCTTTACCTCAACATCCACTCTTTCAACTGTTCCCTGACAAGCCTACTCGTTCTCCAAGCTTGACTAACGTCCGCGTGTAAATAGCATCTATCATGTCTGTACGGCAGAAAACTGCTTCGTCCCGCCTAGCAGACGGCCCCACCCTTTTTAAGGCTGCTTTTATACTTGTGAACATCATCAATCAAGAAGCAAATACTACCCATATCTGAAGTGCAACATCAATACGTAAGTGTTAGGCAGTGTTTCTTTTTATTTAGAAAATGCACAGATACGTAACCTTAATGGCCGAAGTGCTTACTACGCTGCCCTGACAAGGCGACGCTATGAACGAAAAAGCGGGCGTTTTCTACGCTTCGCTAAATTATTCAGGGACCTTAACTAAAATGACCCAGTGCTGCTACCTACCAGTGGCTCTGCGTCTTAAAAAAACTTTTGTTTCTTCACAATACTGCCATATAGCGCCATATATCGCGTAGCGCCTCTAGAAAAACACTGTCATCTTTTGATGCCCTTTTCAGCAAAGCACTAAGATACACGGCCAAATTATAAAATTTTACGAAAACAGCTCGGGACCCTTTGCAAGGTGCGGCACAGAGGAAGCACAACGCCAGCCAGCCCACTTACCCCGACCGCTTTGCCTTGCAAGTAGTGCACGGCACCCGTGCGCCCCACGTCTGGCAGGAACCAGATGCTGCTGGTGCGAATGAGGCGCTCCAAGAGTGTCATAGAACAATGCACGTCATCCGTGCTGCTCGCTGAAGAACCCTGAAGAATTTTCGTTCACATCTCTTTAGGCGTCACCAACACAGCACAGTCACGAATTCGCAAAGCACACAAACGATGAATGATGCTGGCATCTATAGACAGCTGAAAGAATCTCGAAGAATTTCCTTGCAAAGATCGCTCACCCAACTGCTAGCTGTATCTTCGTGAGGCAAAATCAATTAGTGAGAAAGTAGCTTAAAAGGTGGCACTGCCATTTGAAACTTTAAAAAAAAAGATTTCTTCATCAATTTCAGTGAAACTTGCCGACTTTATGCAGATATACAGGTACAGTAAACTCTCTACTTCAAATTCTGTTATGTAGAGTTTTTGGATTTCCCGGAATTTCGAATTCTTTCACTGGCATGGTGTCAACTCCACCAATTTTTCACCCTTATCTACAAAGGTCGCTGCACTGAACTTCAAATATCTCAAAGCCTAGACTGCAAAAATGCTACCTGAGAAAGAAAAATGAAGAAGAAAAGATAAAGAACAGATCTGATACATTTTTGTGGTGCATTTTTTTGTGCAGATGTGGTATCCCCTAAAAGCGAAAGCAGGCCCACCATTTTGTGGCAATGCCTCTTCCAGTGCTAATGCTTTTTAATGCTTTTTGCGCTTGGTCAGCAGATCAGAGCGAAGATCAGCTCACATTATCAACATAATCAGCCGGCCAAGACCAGTGAATGATAAGACTAGCATAAAATATAAAATAAAGCATAATGAATCGTTCCAAAATGCCAGCAGTGATCACGCTAGCAAGCAGGGCTTATACTTTTTGTGCTTTTGACTAACTCTAAACTCCATTTACCTTTAAAGTTTTACCAGTTTTCAATATTTCAAGTTAACGAGGTATTACTGCATGTTTTTCCCTTTCAAGATGTGCAGTTATTTTTTAGTATCAAGCATTTCACGTGCCTTTCTGAGAGCAAGTTTTTTTCCTAACCTGGGAGAGTTGAAAAGTAAATGAACATATCTAAATAGCCTGGAAAGTGAATCGTGCATAACAAAACAACAATTTATATTCTAATCGATTTAACAAAAGTTATGGTATGCTGAGAACTCCGGAGCAAAATTCCAGGTTGACGTTAACACACGCCTGATCTGAAATCTTGCTTCCGAAAGCCACATGAAATGTACGACTTTTTAAAGACTATGTAGTGCACCAAAAGAATAATCCCATATTCGAAACCATCATGCAAAATACACAAATGCAAAGAACTTCATCAAACTTAATCAAGTACGAGAGCCTGGAAAGGCATCAAATCTTCAATTATTGCAACAATTTTATTCAAACAGTAACAATGATAACATTTCAATATACATTAATATACGGTGCCAAGGCAGTCTAAATATCAGCCGCAGCTACATTCCCTGTAACCTATCTTTGTGATAAGGCTGGCTTTTTGCAGTACTGTATAAGAGACTAACCGATACAGTGAATCTCCCCCTTTAATGTGTAAGCATTCTTTCATTAGTTTTGCAGGCAGAAGGTGTGGTCGCTTGCATAACAAAATAAGAACTCCGTGAGAGCACTGATCAGCATTCGCCTGCAACAACTTCTAGGGAGCAAAGAAAAACGGTTGTTGTCATCCTGGGCAATTACGATAGTTTCGAAACTAGCAGCTTCACATGCCCTGCTGTGATTGGCTAGAAGCACGCATGCATCAGCACAACAGGGATTCAAACCAATAACGTAAGGGCAAGCAAACCAGTTTACGCTCCAAACAGTTCTGAGAAAGCACTCCTCGGCCTGCCACATTTTCTCGCATACTTTCGAGACTGGTTAGCAGTGATCAGTATTGGCCAAAAAAAAAAAAATGGCCAATACTGACAGAGATGACCTAATGAAGGTGAGTATTTGGCTATTAATGCTAATGTCTGGAGGTACAGCCATGTGTTGATTAAAATGTATGCATCTCAAATTATGCTAATGCGCAGTCGCACAATCCCACAGTCAGCTATAATTTTCTCCTCAGCATCCCGTTAAAGTGCAATTACAGGACATGGCTATCGATGTAGGCTACTAGGTACGTCACGGTTAGGTTCGGTTGTAGTGTCAAGTAACAAAGTAAGGGAACTTAGATCGACAGAAAAGAGGTGCGGAGCACCAGGAACTAAGCTCTGTTTCGTGCCAATTGCAAGATGGCCAGCAAATGGATTAGGAAGTGAGGTAGGTCACGCGTATCATTATACACCATTTAAAACATCAGGAGCAATGCCACGAAAGATACCACGAGTTGTTGCAGGAGATGCTTTCACACCAAAAAAATAGTCCATAGACTTTACAACCCGTAACGTGATTCTTTCTTTTTTTTTACATTTAGACAGAGCAATAAATGAAGATACTACAACGAATATACTACGTGCATTAGAAATAAATAAACAACATTAGTTTTACAGCTGTCAGTAGGTTGTTCTGGATCGCTCAGCGTCCCTTTGTTTCCATGTAGTGGCCTCCACAACCAGTTCCGGTGGCGCGCAGCCAGAGTCGGTTAAGGAGGCCATGTTCATGACTACAAGATGCAAACATGAGACACCTGAACTTGCACATTTTGCTGAGCAAACTTCTTGTATAGCTTCCATAGCGTCATACCTGAGGTATGAAAAGGAGCATAATGTGGTGCACGGTTTCGTCATCTGTCCTTTCCTATGTGGCAGTTGTGTCAGTAAAATGTGGCGCTTTTCACAGCTTTATATTGCAGTAGACGTTTCAATGAAGCTTACCTGCCTCGTTTTGTTACTCGGCACTACAACCAAACCTACCACTTACAGGTTTGTCTACCTAGTTCTCAGCCAACATGACAAAGCACAACGTGCATGCCAGCCGCACAATGGTTTAGTAGGGCGCGATCAGAGAAGAGCAGCCAGATGTGTAGGCCATAGGAGGCGAGACGTTTCCCAAGCAACATGCAGTCATGCTCTGGTGAGGCAAGGGGAAGAGCGTGTTGGTAGGAGAGAGTGAGCCCGATACCTGAACAGGAAGAGGAGGAGGAGGCTTGGAGAAGGAGGAGAGAGGAGCAGCACAGTGAGAGGCATACGTGCTGCCACAGCGCACCACGGGGGCACGTGGCGGGATAGGCGGCGGAGGCGTCTCCCTACCCTCCGTTCCTCGAGGCTCCCAGGCGGCTCCTCGTACAGGGGCACCACAGCCTCCGGAGACTCTGCACGTCAAGGTCGAGGGTCGGGAATGGCTTGAACTTCATAATAATGGCTAGCCGAGCATGTTGGCACAAATGCATGCAACAGTGCAACCGTTCACATTCAACCTGAAAATTTGGGCTATTCTGTGGCAGCTGAAGTTACGCATCTTAACAACTGCGAAGCAACAACCACATAAGGAAGAGACAGTCGGTCCTGTTCACAGGTCTCTACCTTGAGCGAATGTCGCTTTGCACTTGTTAAGATTAACAAGTTCAAAAGTTAACATCTTGCTACGGTAGTGCCACAACTACACAAACATCATCAACTTGGGGACATAGCACATGCGTACATGGCAAACTACTTTTCTTTTTTTTCTATTGCACTGTGCAATGTCCCCCCTGTTTCCTTCCTCTATTACGCGAATTTGACCATCTTCTACCTGCTTCCAAGCACAACATGTCAGTTGCTACATGCAAAAATGATGGTCGTGTGTTATATCCAGGCAACAATTACGTGTGTCAATGTGAAACTACAAGTGAACTCGATAAAAAAATCCTATTGCCGTATGACGAACGGCTGACCGCCAACAAGCCCTCAATTGAGAGAGCACCAGTTAGTGAAAAATGGCGCATACAAATCCGCGCACACGGCCGGCACATCTGCGAGAGTTGCATTTCCGCACTGTTATGCCTGCGAGTCGACAGCGAACGTCCGTGCCTCTGGAAAAGGCAATATGTGTCAAGGCCAGCCCGCGAGTCCGCCTGACGCGAACAACTCAGCGGCGTCAACAGGCGACGGCGCCTTTCTGGCGTGCACGTGCAGTGAGTCACCTCAGCAAGCGAGCCCGTCGAGTAAACAACCGGCGTCTTCCTGTCTGGCGGGTCTGATGCAATGCCTTGCGACGTCACTCGTCCTTGGGTGCAGCCACCTGCAGGGCAGCCTCTCCAGATTCGATGAGAAAGAAGGACGCAGCCCAGCGGCGACCCCATTGGAGGAGTCTGGCCTCACGACCAGCGGCGCTTCTGGTTGGACATTCGGGTTGGATCCGGTGCATATAAAAGAAGCCCTGCGGCACCTCGCGAGCAGCAGATTTGTTGGAGAGCAGACATGCGTGTCGCAGTTGAGCTATGTGTTAGCAGTCCTATGTGAGAGCAGACATGTGTGTCGCAGTTGAGCTGTGTGTCAGGGAGTTGAGCTATGTGTTAGCAGACCCCTTTGACAGCAGACCCATTTGAGAGTAGAGCTATGTGTTAGAGAGAAGAGCTCGGCTCTTCGCGTCTCTGTCGGCCCCAGTGCCGAATTTGTAACGCCTCTGTATATATGCTGTACATAAACCTTGTTTAACTCACCGTCGTCTCGTCCGCTCGTCTATCAGCTCTGCGCAGAAGCAGTCGCGAGCTGAGAAACCTACGCTACCAAACGGCTGGTGACCTTTCCGGCAGAGTTCGAAGCAGTGGCACCTTCGGGACCGTGTTGCGTCGCCGTCTTTCGAAACAGTGGTTGCAGCGGTGAGATTCGTAGCGCCCTTCGTGCCCTTCGTAACGTCGTCGGAGGCGCGCTTCGCAACAGTGGTTGGCAGCTGCGGGATCGGCCGGCGTCAGCGACATCGATGCGCTTCATAAGAGCCCGCTCGATGAGACCCGGTTTTTCGCAAACGCCACCACTGCCACCACACTTTGCGAGTTATGAACGCTTCGGAACACATAAATGGGTAGTGCGTCTTACCATGACGCACTACCCATTCATGTGCTACCCCACCAAGATGTTCTGTCGATACCAACTCGCCCGAATGTCAATTCTACTGCAGAAATGGGACAAGGATTACAAGGTGCCTTTGCACAGAGCCTTCACATTCAGTTTATCTTTTTAAAACGCCTAAACAGCCCATTGGTTATAACTACAACAATAGTTGGTATGACATGTGTCTGTTAAGAATGAAATGTTCCAAAACGGGCATTAACATAAGACTATTTTACGGACGGGTTTTAGTGCCGCCATAATGGCCCATTAACCTTTGTTTTTTCGTATCTTTACCAACTAATCAAACAGTATTACTGTAGACACATAAGCATGAAAACGGTTGTCTTGGTACATACAATGTTGCATATACAAAAACAAGAAAATAAAAAGGTAGCGCCTCAATTCTTTACGGAAAATAGTTTATCCTTCAGTGGATAGCTGGCACATGTACTTTCACGTGAGTTTTTATTTACCCATCTCCTTTGCAACGCTTACTCTTCCTCAAAATATGACTCAAAGAGCTTGTTTTTTTGGATTAAGGTGACGACCTATGACTGCAGCGCCACTGCAAACAACATGGTAAACAGTGCAGACAATGGCACGAGCGATACCACGACTGGTTTTTATCACCTCATTTTTCTTTGCAGTAGTGCAGTGCATAAGGCAGAATGTGCACACACAAGCACATTCACAAAATGAAAAACACTACATGTAAGCTGATAACTTTCAAACTTCACAAATTTTGACACAGAACTTGTAAAATTAAACAATAAGCAGAGGCCATAGACTTTTAAAAGAATATGGTAATTTACCAGGTATAAAGATAGCTATGGGCACATCCCGAGGCTCAGAAACAAGTGAGGCAGCATTAAGGCTAATTTCAGATGTTTGACAGCAAACGGGCGCTTGGAATGTATCAACAATTGACAGGGTGCACTGAGTCTGCCAATGTACCAGAAACAGAAGTACACAGTACCGGCATCCATTGCCAACCGTTCGTTTTCCTGATCAAAAGTAAGTTTAAAAGCCGCTTCTCTGGCTAAAGCTAGCGCCAAGACGAAGATAGGTGGCAGAAAAAGTGCAAACTAGTGTCAGTTCAGTGCTTCAGCAGGATGTTTTTACGAGCAGATGCAAACGCTTGCTTTATAAACAATAACCTGTTAAGCTGTTATGAGGGCTAGTTGGTATAACTTGATAACTGTTCGCACTGCTAGTAACTAGACGAAAGAACAACTTAAAGAAAGACACATACAGGGTGACGTGCACAACCCTATGTCTTTTTTCGAATGTCCTTTCACCTAATTCTTGGCAGTGTGAATAGACATAAACCAAATGAAAGTCAGTTGTCTGTTATCTCTCTCCTTCAATGCAGACCTGTTTTACATTCAACCATACAGTTGGCTTTTGTTTGTGACTAATGCTTCTTGAACAACATACCTATACTGGTCATGGTACAGTCGTGGTTAAGACTTTGGCTTGGTTAGTGATGTTTATTACCAGGTAATTTGCCCATGCTACATTCAATTTCAGAATGCTATGCACATTGTGTAATTATAGAATATAACTAAACATTAACCAAATGTACATACCAAGGGCAGCGTCATAACAGTGATAGTAAATAGCACTAGCTCAAGCTATTCACGCCTACGTTGAATAGTTTATGGCTTTTTCAACCTTGCTTAGCGACCGATTGGCGTAACAACCAAGACCTTGCACATCTTCAAACTCCCCAAGTTTCCCGTGCTTCGCTGCCCTTATTCTATGCTGGAGTGTAGCAATCGGTACCTGTGAACACTGGTGTCATGGGAGAGACCATGATGGCTCGTGTAGCACAGATGACACTGTGTCAGACAGCTGACCCTGCAGCATCACCTTTGGTCCACATTTACAACCTGCACAAGATGAAAGCGCACGGTATGCCTAACTACAGAGCAGTACTAATGGTTCAATATTTGGGATGTCCTGCCAGCCGAAACGTGAAAGTGCTTAATCATTATAGGGAGCATAATGCACGCAGAGTTCCCTTCAAGAGGCGAAGGTGTTTTCCGTCATTATCATGTCAATGTATGGGGCCTGACTTTTTGCTCCCCCCCCCCAACATATGACAGGAAGTACTAAAGATAATTTTAATACTTAAGATGTCTTGACTCCTTATTGAAATAGGTCACAGAGTTTGTTCAACAGGCATGTTATGAACAGGCACTGCAGCTCTAAAATAATTTTCAAATTTTGTCACCCCTTCGTATAATTATATAAAGCCTAGGTGAAATGCTTTGACACTATAATTACACCCTCCTACAATAATTCCTTGTTAGGGATATGGAAGTTAGTGTGAATACAACAAACTAGTCCCAGTTAAAATTATTTACATTTTCTACATAAATATTTCTGAAATATTAATTTACTGGCTTAAAAGAGGGCCTTTTTTCATCTCCATACTATACATTCCACATGATGACCCAGCGCATAATAATAAGAGCTCTCAATATTTAGGCATGACATGCGTCTATAGGGCCAAAATTCTACCTTCAAATCAGGTCAGGTTGAAAGACATCCGTGCGCAGCTAGGTAACAATGGAAATATCAATTTGTACAAGCTAGTGCTACGCTTGTAATGTAACATTTAAAGTAGTGTCATGTGAGGATTGAATGTGACATACAGTTTGAGGGGAGAAACAGCTGTTGCCACAAAGCACAGATGAGCCGGTGCCTATTTTTCGACGCAAGTACACAATGGCAAGTTCAATGACAGCAGCACTGTGTGAATAACAAGGTATAGTGCGTGTTGTCACACAAGATAAACAATGATGTTTGCGAACACCAGGTTAACAGCCTCCTGAAGTCGGTGCTGCTGTGATGTCGATCAAGCTAGCAACTTTATCCTGTTGACACCTAATAATCCCAAGGGTTTTACGTGCCAAAACAACATGACTATCAGGCATGCCATAATGGGGACTCTGGATAATTTGAACCACTTAGAATTCTTTAATGTCCACTGGCATTGCACAGTACATTTTCTACATAATGCTTTAGCATTTTAGCGCCATCAAAAGGCAATGTCGTTAACACAAGTATGCAGTGGCAAGTTAATGGTTTCAATGGCAGCAGCATTGAATGACTACCCCAAAGTAAAGTCATTGAACTGGTGTCAAATGGGATAAACATAGAAGTTTATAAAATCTAATTATTATTATCCTTTTGGTATATTAATGCTATTTTAGCGCCAGTTATGGCTTCGACTTCAGCTGGTTGTTGAGGTAACTAAGCAGTGGCAAGTTTGATTAGGTCCAATGTCAGCTGCACTGAATGACACCAAGCTAAAATATTTTCAAGCTACACATCAGATAAGCACTGAGTAACCTCCGTGCTTATCAACTCAATTCTAACTGCTGGTACGCCTGATTCCTTCTTTTTGTGTGTGTGTGTGCACTGGTTGCGGTAGACCAAATAAAGTTTTTACTTTAGCTCACATTTGATGTTCCAGACTTTCACAGCAACGGACGTTCCTGCCAGCATTACAACAGCGATTCAGTCAGCCTTGAACGAGGGAAGTATCTGCAGCGAGACACTTAGAACTGTTAGAGTAATTCTCTTCAAGGAATGTTGACGGCAGGTCTAAAAGTGTCTCCCTACACTCGGGGCACGGTATTGGGTTCTGCGATCGAGGGATCTGCTGTCCCGAGCTAACGACAAACCACGCTCTAAACGCACAGCACAACAATCTGCGAAAGAATGCATCGGCCACATCGGCGATCGTTTCGACGCTGAACGTGAGGAGGGGGTCCATACATTTCAACTGACAGCTCGGGTGTTATTTCCGAGTAAATTGAGAAGCGGAGAACGGGAAAAAAAAAAAAAAAAAAAAGCCGCGACGGACGTGCCGTGGCTACGAAGTTGTGCATCGAATGTGTGACGCACGAGTGACCACCGCGACCATTCTAGCGTCCACGGAAGCGCTTGACCGCTGGCTAAAGAACACGACAGAGGCCCTATCAAGCAGCAGCTAGCTGCGAGCAGGAACCGCGCAATATTTCTGTGCCGCAGCACGATGGCATGGTACGTACGCGATCAGTGCATCACCTGAGCGGTGCACAACGCACGAGCCGCGGGTATCCGGCGACGAAAAGCGGACGGGACGTCCTCACACGTTTCCACGGGCTGGTGCGGTGGCAGGCAGTTAGAAACCGACATAACGGTGGCAACAATATAACACCGCGTCAAAGCAACAAACACAAAAACTCACCTATAGATCGTGATTCATGCTCCTCCACGAGTGATTCGTTAGTGCCTCCGACATTTCTACGCGCTGAAACTTGCGTTTGCACTCGAAAAAAAGAAAAGTTTAGCTGGTCGAAAACGCCCGCTCTGCCACCGTAATTGGCGAAAGTGGTTTCTCAAAACAATTGAAAAGGGTTTCGACGAGTGCACAGTAAACAGTCGCTACTGGAACATCGACCCAGTTGTGCAGGAACGGCCTAAACACACTTGCAACAGTCGCCTCTCCACCTACTGCCCTCACCTATTTTAAGTTCTCATGTTCGCGGTGTGAAAAAAATGCGTCACGCCATGCCAGAGTGACGTCATGAGGCTGACACCCGCACACGATGGACGACTCTGTTCGAATATTTTCTCGGACTGCCCCAGGGCTGCCCGGAGTGGGTTGCCCCGTGCAACGTATACACAACGTTCATTGGTTGAAAGCATCCGATAGCGGGTTGTGGGAAGATGAAGGATTCGAATGAAACTCAAATGTCGTGAGCCAGGTGAACGAAACGCGAGTAACGGCCACATAGAATATTTAAAAGCATCGTCATTCGCAGTGTACGAAAACATGACGTTTTGTCACTTTGAGTACAACGTGCCAGAACAGCGCAATGCATTTCATATGCCAAGTACAATGCATTTCATACGCTTAAAAAATAACGTGGCGAAAACGTACTATTCGGAAAAAATGTACTTTACTGTCACTTCAAAATACCGCTATTACGACTTATAACAATGAATGAGTGGTTCTTGAGGTCTGCCTCTTGGGCGACACTGTGCCTTGTAGGGGATGGGGGAATAAAAATAATAGTGGAAAGATATAGATAAAGAAACGGGACAGGCGACCTGCAGAAAAAGAAGCAGATAGGAAAGTTGGGAGCCGGTCGAAGAAGTCCGAGTACGGGGCACCACTCAGCGAGAGTTTTACGGCGTCAGCAGGTCGCGGAGGGCGAACCAGTCGGCGAGAGCAACGCTGGCTTCGGAGGTCGCGGGCAGCACAACCGTTCGGCTTGAAATCCTCCGAGCAAGCAACTCCTTCAGTCGCAACGAGGGTTTTAGAGGCGGCAGCTGAACTGTATTCAGATTGGGCGCACGCCACCTTTTGTCTGCAGCAAGTCGTGCACTTCGGCAATATTTTCCCTCACTTCACATTTTCCTTCGACGCTGTCGCACCTGTTCAAGACACTGTGCATGACGCTACAGTCGTACTTTTCAAACATGACCTGATGGCTCCCTGCGCGAGCCGCAGAACTTTCAGTGTCACTGCTTCGCCCTTGATCTTCTTCACAAATGGAAGTGCTGACAAAGTCAAAGTGTGCGCGCCTCGGCGGGTCCGCAGCAAAAGGACACGTGTGTGTGGGTTGAAGAACTTGATGGCGAAGTTGAACTTCGTCACGCCGAGACCAAAATTTCCGTGCAGGAAATGCACGGCATTTCTCACGCACGCGTAGATGTCCTTTTCTGCGACGGGAAGCTTGTGAACGCGAGGATTTTATGCCAATCTTTCCATAGTACTTCAACCAAAACATGATGCATGGTGTTTTAAACGCACCGTGTTTGATCACGTGCTTGATAGCGATCGACGTGTTCTGTGGTACAGATCTTTCAGCCACTGAGCGCGCCTGAGCGGACAGATATGTTCGGTCTCGCGGGCACGCTGTGCAGCGAGCCGTCAGATGGCGCCGCAGCCAATGTACCAAGTGCATCGAAATAGCAGAAAAGGAACACAGGCCCCTGTGGCTAGCATTTTTGGATATCAAGGGAAGCGTATAATAGCGTGGTTCAAGAGGACTTGTGGGGAATACTGGACATACTAGGTGTGGAAGATGGAGTCACTGATATTTTAATGATGATGAAGGTAGTGAACGTAGGATATAGGAGGTCATGTGCACGCCAGAGATAACAGATAAATACAAATATCTGGGTGTATGAATAAGCAATGGGACCAAGTACCTATAAGGGAACACGAAATATACGTAACGACTACGTAAGATAAACAGGAATGCAGCGGTGATGAAAAATAGGGCACTGTGGAATTACATTAGGTATGATGTTGTGAAGTGTACGTGGCAGTTTGGGCTGGTTGGTACGACATGACGATAGTTATAGCGCGAGAACAGAACGCTGACGTGTCCTTGTCTCTTTGTCGTCATTCTGTCGCTCTTTGTCATCGTTCGTTGTGAGAGGAATATGGAAAGGGGTCATGGTTCCTGGTCTGACTTTCGGCAATGTGGTCTAGTTGAATGAGATCAGAGGTTCAAGCAAGATTAGAAATTAAGCAACGTGGAATGGGTAGGCTTGCTTTAGGAGCTCACGGGAATACACCAAATCAGGAAGTACAAGGTGATATGGAATGGACATCATTTGAGGGGAGGGAATTCTAGCAGTAAGATAAAATTTGAGAAGAGACTGAGAGAAATGGAAGAACTAAAATTTTCGACTACTTGTACAAATGGAATGTCGATACAAAGTGGAGGAAGTGAACCAGAAGATTGACGAGTAAATACTCAGAAAAGAGCAGGGGGGCATACCATAATTAAAAAACTATCGGTTTAGAAGAAGGTGAAGGAAACGCAGACCAAGATGTGGAGAATCGGCATGATTAAGAAGTCCGCGCTAGAGATCTATCAAACGTTTAAGCAGGAAATTGTTAAGGAAAGGATCTATATAGTACTCGGGGTAGTTCTCTACTGTTTGAGGCCAGGACGGGAGTATTGCCAACATAGATCGACTTATCGGGCCAAATACGAAGGGGTAGACACGGTATGCAGTGCGTGTGGAGAGGAAGTGGGTAGAAATAACTAGAAGGAAGTTATCTGATTGGTGGCTAAAATCAAGGCACAAGGAAAAATTAAATCCTTCTCTGCAAAGTAACAGTCCTCAACTCCACTATTTAAAGAAAAAAAAACTGTTTTGGTTCACTAAGTATTACGGCTAGGTGGCGTTAGCCGCCGCCCGATCTAAAGGGTACAGCCATATCAATTTGTCCAGCTAAGTGGTGCTGGCTCCCCAGCGTTTTCCCTCCTAACAGTAGTGTACCACAGAACATTTACACTCAAAGCACGAAGGAAATTTGTTATTTAATATTAAAAGATCAAAGTTTACCAGCTGGTTTAAGGGTTCATAACACAAAAATACCTGAAGGATGTAAAAGTCGTCAACACGGATCAATCGGGGAGTGGTCAAAGCAGTTCCGCAGTAGTATTTTTGTCTGTTCACGGCATTCCTCGATACACAAAAAAATAAGTAATAAAAAAACGTTAAGAAGCGTGCTATTCGTTCATCAAAATATCTCCCTGTGGAAAGAAATGCAAGGAACTGCGACGTGCCATAGATGTAAGTGCATGCATATTAAACAACCCCGAGTGATCAAAATTAGTTAGGAACCCTGGACTACGACATGTCTCGATATTAAATCGGGGTTCTACGCGCCGACCCCCAGTAATGATTACTACTCCCTAATTAAGGGCTAGAATAGTTTCTGCACTAGAAACGTATTTCATGCGCATCACTCCATTTCATTTATCCAGGAAATCGTTGAAGCATAGTGGCGCTTGTTACATGTAAACGCGATATAACTATTTGAAATGCGCAAGCATTTCACATGAAGTACACGTAATAGCAATGCAGTTGTTCTACGAAATATATAAACATTTGAACCACTCAATTGTATTTCATGTACAGCGCACTGTAGCATTGTGGTTGTCCATGCTTACAGATGTTACGACGCAAATTCACATGTTAAGTCGACGATCACTGTCGGACGACACCACAGAACACTGATGACACTTTGAAGAGGGGCACGTACACGCTCCGCAGAAGTCCGATAGCCAAAATGGCAGTTCGGTACAAAACACGTTCTACCCATTTCGGGGACATATCTCATCAATTCGACATTACCTTCATCTCGAATTGCATTAAATACACGTGAACAACAACAACAAAAACTGGCTTCAAAACAGCGTCATTATACATGCCAACAAAAAGTCCCGTAATCAGCACATGCATGCACGTTTGGCCGAGCGTACGTGCTGCCGAGACGGCTGACCCCACTCGTACGTTGTAGCGCCATGGCACCGATGAAGCTGCAAGATAACCGATAACGGCCTAGCAGATTTTCGAATAGCGGCCCCAAAGAAATAGCGTCATGGCCACTGCACATGCGCAAAACCCAAACCACGTTTAGGTTTTGGGACGCCATTTCTCAAATTTAGCGGCAGCCCCAAAGCCTGCCACAAAAAGTTTTGGGTCAGACAAACGTGACGGAACCCACTAAAGCGACGGCTCTCGGCCGAGATTGTGACATAGAATAGGGGGAGTGTCCAAAGTGCGGCAGACCCAAAGCGTCAAGCTTTTGGAGCTCCCTATTCGAAAACTGCGGGGGAAACGTATCAATGTTCTACTACTCCACATACTGGAAGTACCATACATCCGGTTCACTGTATACCTGAAAGTGCGACATATATGGGTGGTGGCACAGTTGTTCATTCTTATTTTTCTGTTCTTTTCAAACGCATCGCATACTCTGTTCATGCTGGAATGCAACAGAGCCCACGTCTACGAATTACGTCAACAGCCTAAACGAATATGCTGGAATCACTGGTGTCCATATGGCAGCAAGAGCGATCGCTGGAGTGGCCAGGCCCCACAGATTCACAGCACGGCAAATATGTGACGGTGAACTATGTGATGTGTTCGCTACACAGGTGTTCTGTGGCTACGCCGTAGAAACCACTCTAGTTCACGATATGTGGAACTATAGTGTACCATGTTCTAGTCAACGTTTTTAGATCTAAAAACGTTGGTTCTAGTACACTATACTGGAACAGAGCACGGAGGCATTCCTCCATACGGACCATAACGTGAACGAGAGGGAATTCTCGCTCGCTTTCGTGTATTACAGATGGCAGCAGTAAGCAACGCAAATTACGTTTTTCAAACATATATTAAAAAGAATCAAATCGTTATATACTGAAATCGTAGTTTTTCTGTCATTGCTCTGTATTAAAAAGTCAAAAGTTATTACAAGTTTATAATAAAATAAACCCCTAACAAGCTCTAAATACGTTATACTCGCCATCTTTGTAACAAGCGTTGGTATTTTGTTTAATTTAGATATTTCCGCGGTTCTCGAAGTAAACGTACTCGACAGTGAAGCAGACTCTAGGCCGGTTCATTGTGTCAAGTATCGCTTTATCAGTTACCGGGTCCCTCGTTTGGATTTGCTACAAGATGTAGGCGGCCTCGTCGTTATCGGCTGGCAAGGTTTAGCGATGCTCAAGCTCAGAGGCTGAGGAGAAGGAGGAGGCTCACGTAGCGTGGCTGCAGGCAAGCCATGCCTGGCATTGTTGTAAATTGCAACCCGCGCGCCACTCTTCACGAGTGAAGAAGAAGTCGCCGCGCTCGTGGAAGTGCCTGCAGATCATGTAGAACAGCAGGTACCTTCCTGTGCGCAAGTAGTATTGATAACTTGCTCAAGCGGGAACGTTTCGGCGCCAGCACCCGCAAAGTAATCCTTTGAAACAACCGGGATCTCCGTGGTCACCCTGTGTATCAAACCGTTACGACACCGTAAGTGTCCTCTTCACTTATTAAATGTTTTGTCTATTTCAAGCGCAGAGCACTGCTACTGATATGCTCGGGCATGCAAGCCAGTCGCACTTCATTGTCTCGCCGTTTTGTTCGCAGAGATCTTGGGCCGGTGGCTACGAGGAGCCGTTGTCAGCGGGGTCGTCATCACTTGGCCTCCCGGAGACGTCAACGGTGCTTGCAGTGTTGCGGTAGTCCCCAAGGGATCTACGCGTCGACCGTGTGGGTCTGTTGCCACTTGCACAAGTGTCGATAACTATCCGGACTTTCAACGTGTGTTTGCGCCGATGCAACGGAAGACTTCGAAAAGCGGTTCTTCAAAAAGATCTCTCTGTGCGGCAAGACTGGTTGATACAGACGTGCATCAGCCTGCAGCATTGGCTGCTGCCAGCGTACGTACGGGGTGGTTATCGATACTGGATTCGTTGCGTTTCGTTTGCTAACACCACCGAAGGCTTTGCCAGTGGTGTGGCGAAAGACTGAAAGACTGTGAACTGTTGGTCCCGTGTGTTATGCTTCGCGCAAATTAACGCACGGTAGCTGTGACGGAAAATTTTGCAACTACACGGAGGAGAAATTAGGCTAGCTGGCGAGTTTTTTTTTTTTTTTTACTTTCGAGTAATCTGCGTCTGTGTAACCTCGCGTTTACCGGCAGTGATTTCAACGTATTCTGAAGGAGTTTGCTTCGCCATTGGAGGTACAAAAGGTCACTGCATTGCAGCCGAAAGGTCATTCCCGTTAGTGTCTCCTTCACGAAGTCCCAATTGTGTGTCAACTGTTGCCGCTGTCGAAACTTAAGGTGCTACCAAGGTCAATCCCAGGGCAACGGGGGTCTGGAGGAACTATTTGTCATGGAAAACACAGGTGGAGCCCAGAGCATGAATTCGACTGTGTCCTGGACCGCTTCAGCTAGTGCAGCCAGACCCGTGCCTCAGACAACTCCTTCGGGCAAGAACGAGCCGAATTTCGGCTCGCATCTTCCTGCTTCGTTGAGAACATGGAGTAGGCCCCCTTCTGTTGCATATGGCAGCAGCCACGTGATGCCAAGAAACATGACAAACAGCAGCAACGTTGTGATAAGGGACAGAACTGTGGCGCCGCACGTACCAAACAGAAGCAGTGCTTTGCCGAGTAGTACCACAACAGTGCTTGGCGAGTCGGAGGCTGCACGCAGGGACAGGCAGATGGCGTTACTGCATTCAAACCTCAAAGACGGCGTTCTCAAGTCTGGGTCAGTGCCCTCTTCTATGGGCGGACATTCTGTTTCTGCAAAGCCACAGCCAGCCTCATCGAGCCCCGACACTACCGCTAGCAGTGAGACTCAACTTTTGATGTGCGAGTGCAATTTTGGACCAGTCGACCAAGCGACCTTGGAAAGGCACATCATGGCTGCCCACGTCAAGCCGTTTAGCCATAGCTGCGAACTCTGTGACAGAAAATTTCCTACGCGAAAAGAACTTAGAGATCATGTTACTTGCCATTCACGCGTGTATGGTGCTGCAAAACCGAATGGTTCATGTGGCTTACAGCAGGGCGACGAGAGAACAAGCGTCGTGCAGGAATGCGATTCGCTAAGTGGAGTTACTGAAGACATATTCCCTAGGAGTACTGCTGGTGGCGAAACACGTGTAAATGACAGTGTAACTGAAAAAGGGTACCACTGGCGATTAAGGCCCGATCTGGTAGGCTCAGATGGCTTGCTCGCTTTCTATAAGTGCACAGTCGGACAGTGTCGCTTCACGGCCAATCGTGCGAGTGATTTCTCTAACCATCTAGCGTCTCACCGGGTGGGAGAACTGGGAGAGCTCATTTGCATTTATTGTGGCGAAAAGTTTGACGTCATCGCCATTCTTGTGCAACACATGGAAGGTGCTCACAGGCATATGGTTTTCCAGTGTGGGCATTGTCTCTACCGGGCCGTACTGCCCATTCACGTTCAGTTGCACCACCAGTGGGCACACGCGGGGCTGGAGCTGCTGATTCTCGTGTGCACTAATCCCGCAAGGCATACTACATATGCAGCCATTCCTCCGCAGCGTGTCAGCCTGACTCATTACTGGTGTAGTGTTCCTAACTGCGGCTTTAAGAGTTTCAACCCTGATGTGTTTGAGTGGCACCTTAGTTCTATCCATCCGAAGGCTAAGGAGTACTTCTGTTCTCTCTGTTCTACTTCTACGCCTGTAGGTAGCCCGCGAGAACTGATTGAGCACTACTGTGTTAAACACGGCATGGACGTGGTGCAGTGCGGCATGTGTCACCATTCTGAGCCCACGTGCCACACAATGCTGAAGCACCTTTGCTACCACCACCCGGACAGTCCCCTGGGACTAATTTGTCGCACTAACGAGCAAGTTGAAGAGTTCGAAAAGTGCGTGCAGTCGTTCCAGGGATCGGATGAACCGCCGGTGGGTAGGTCAGGCCCGTCACCGGAGCCAGACACGTCACCGACACGCCAATCGTTGCCCATAGTCCCTGCCGTGAAAACCTGCCCCTTCTGCACAAACCACGTTGTGACCTTGGCCGAACTCGCCAACCATTGTGTAGCAGCTCACCAGATTAAGTGCCCAATTTCCGATATCTTGCAGCTAATGTTAAAAAATCGCTGTGCGTCCACTGCGAAAGATAGCAGCCTCTCCTGTCCTTTTTGCAGTGCGACGTTCCCGACCAAGGATGCACTTCAGGAACACATCTACCACGAGTTCCACTACATGCCTATCCAATGTGAAGCATGCAGTTATTCCACCACCAACAAAGTTCACTTGAAGGAGCACTTTTCGTCCAGCCATGCTGGAGAGTTTCCCACATTCAAAACTTGTGAAAACGACGATTTTGAGTCTTGGGTAACAAAATTAGTCTCCCAGCAAGAAAATCACTGCGTTGTAATCGAAAAGCCCTACCAGTGCGTCCAATGTACAGAACGATTCCAAAGCATTGGCGGACTGAGAGTTCATTTGTATACACACTTAAAATACTACCCCTATCATTGTTCAATATGTGACGAGTGCTTTGTAAGCCAAGAAGAAGTTGAAGAGCACCAGCGCAAAAAGTACAATGCGGCGGGGCAGTACTCGACTAAACAGGTCAGGTTTGAAACAAAAGAGACGAAGGTCGACAGTTTTATTGACACAGCTATAACGATGCTGCAGCAACTTTTACACAATTCGCCTTCGCAGCAGTGTCCGTGGAAGGGGTGCACGTATGAATCTTCGGTGAAAAGTGAACGCGATGCTCATGCGAATGTGCATGTGGCAAAGCGCAACACGTGCACCAGGTGCCAATTCAGCTCGCACAGCGCTGATGTCATTGCGTGGCACGGCAAGGAGCAGCACAGTCCAGTCTCCAGCAGCACTGAGGCTCCTTCGTGCAGTGATGTACAACCAGTGCCAAAGAACAACTCACGCTTGTTTGCCTGCGGTTTGTGTAATTATAGGGGACCCAACACCATGAGCGTTCGCGAGCATTCCAAGATTGTGCATCCCGGCAAGGCGGTCAAGCTGGTCGTTCCTAAAAGGAAAGATCTGTACAGCCCTGCCGTCAAAAGCATGGAACAGCCTGCGAGATCGAAAGAAGAGGATGGGGAAGAGCGACTATCCGTCTCACTGGTGCCTCCCCAAAGGAGCACCACGCGTCCCAGTCGGTGGTCATCCAACAAACAGAGGTGCCCGTGCAACGAGTGCAAGTTCGTGGCATCATCCGAACGACTCCTGCACATTCACAAGACCGAATTACATGAAGATAGCCAGAGCCTCAATGCAGACTCAGATGTTGTTGCCAATGCCATGTCCAATGCCTTGATCCTGGCCACTCACCATTACTCCACGCTGGCTTCCGGCATTTCCCAAAGGCATCTCAGTCAGCATGCCAGCTTGACACTTCGGCGCCCGGTTCACCACAGCCGGACCATGTCTACACGTGCCGCAAGTGCGCCGAGCAGTTCCGGTTGAAGACGAGCTTATACAACCACCTGCTAGTGAAGCATCACGCATATGCCGCCTGCGATACCTGTGGTAGTGCACTGATGAACAATGCTCAAGCTATTAATCATGCTAAGAAGCACCCAACTGTGCGAAGCACTTTCACGGTACTCAAAAGGAAACAGCTTACCAACCCTGCAGCGAGGAATTTAAATAGGAACATTCCTACCAATAAACAGTTAGTACAAGAAGCCAGTGATCTCTATGTGGTGTCACCCTGGGCTCCCGATGCACGAGTTCCTCTGCAAGAATTTTCTCTTCAGTACAACCTTAACGCACGTGTGCGCGTAAAGGACTTTGAGAGGTCTCTCAGTAAGAACCTTTCATAAGAACCTTTATTATGTTTCTTACTCGTGTCACTGTTTTATGTTTGTTGAGGTCCGCCAGTTTGAGGCGTAACAATTAATCCCTGTATATTTGTTTATAGTTATTGGCTTATGTATTTTGTTGCACATGTATGCCATCATCAAGCTGAAGTGACGCCAATTTTTGTTACGTGTACATTTCTGTGTAATATTGAATCTCATGCAAAGCGTTATTAAACAGCTGCATGTGTTAGCAGCATTACTGTATGCTTCGGTTCCTTGTTGTACTTGTCGCTCACAAGCAGCCCTCTCTATTGGAACAGTGCTCTGAACATACATGTGCGGATAATGCTAGTTCACAGGTGCATTGTTGCAGTTTTATGACAGCTGTTATGAAGCTGTCATGAAACCGCAGCTACAGCTGATTTTAACGGTGTATCTCACTGGGTGTGTAACAGCCATCGAGTGCAATGTTAGAAAAGAAACCAGGGCTGCGCAGAACGCACAGCACAGTCGCCGCAAAATCTGGGAGAGCGGCCGGCCTTTCAGGGCCTTTTGCAGCGAAAGCTGTTAAGAGGTCAGAACAACGGTGTGTGTGCCATAATCACTATCACACTATCGCTTGGAACTTCCTTGCAAACTGACCCTAGGCAGGCTTCATGTCAGGAAAGGAATCGCATTAATGTCTGTAAAAAAAGTGCTTCAGCACAGCAGAGGAACAGCCATGCCTCACACAATGCGAATTGCGTAAGGAGTGAGTCGTCGAATGGTACAACCCCATTATAATAGTGGTTTCATCATCGTTCATTCATCATCGTCATACAACACATAAAAAAATTGCACAAAAGTTGCTGGCAAGCATGTAGCAGTTGCCACGCTTCTCCGAAGAATCACGAAAGGTAGCGTAGTAATTTTATAAGAGCGAAAGAACAACCAGTTTTTGCATAATGGGAATAGCGTAGAGAGTGGGTCGTCCAATGAATCTTACCCATTACAAAAGCTTGTTCTTGTTCCCCTATTAACTGTGGCACATACCCACTCCAGGCATAATTCCTCGTGGTCAGCCACTGCTTGCGTTTAGTGGATACCGGCCTACTACCAAAAAATTTTTATTATTAATGCCGTAGTGGGTATCAAGCAAGTTTGCTTGCAGCAGTTACCCAATGAGTGTTTAAAAGAGGCTCTGAAAGGCCGCTCTTTTAGCTTTCGCTGCGACTGTGGCTGCGCCTTCCGCGCAAGCCTAGCATTTTTTTTGTCCACTCTTTGGGTAACTGCTACAAACACACATTTAGGATACCCACTATGCCACTAATCATGATTTCTGTGAAGTGGGGATGCGTTCAATATGCCATCCTTCGTCATTCTTCAGAGATGCGTGGTACCTGCTACAAACTTGCAAGTAATATTTTGCAGTTTTTTATGCTGTGGTTGATGACAAAGAATTATGCCTGAATCTTTTGTAGTGGGGTTGGAGAATTCGATGACCCACTCGTTATGAAATTTGCATTGTGCGACGCCTGGTTGTTTTTTAGCTGTTTTAAAATGTCTTATTTATTTTGTTATTCGTGTCACTCGAGCCTCCTCTCTTTTAGCTCAAGCTCACACCCACTCGTCTGTTTCAAGCTTTGTTGATGCCCCCCAGTATGGTGTTCCGCTCACTTTGCAGTAGTATCCGTGGATACTAAGGGTCAGATTTTATCCTCAGTGTATGTTCCAACCACTACTTCTTACGAAGCAGACAGATGGCCATTGCACTAGCTCTCCTTGATCCACCAAGGACTGATATTTATACGGACTCTAAATCCACTGCTAGGGCCTTCGCTTCTGGTTCCGTGTGCAAGGAAGTTTTGAGAACTCTCGCTCACAAGGAACTCGCCCACCACACTATTATTTGGTTCCCTGCTCACCTTAGCTTGAAGGTCGGGGGCTTTCCCAGTGTCAACGAGCTAGCCCACTCCAAGGTGTGAGGCTTCACTTGCCGCGCCGGGACTTGTGCTTCTCAGACAGAGGAATCAGCCCCAACCTTCACTTTAGGGACGTTTTGACTACGTTCAACGAGATCACGAAGCACTATCAATTAGGCCGTAGGTTCTTCTCCATTGCCACACGAAAAGTTGTCTAGGCCACAGGCAATCTCTCTTCGCATGCTTCAGACGGGAACATACCCTAGCCTCGTAACCTATAGCCATTACTCCGATATTTCAGAACTTGTCCGCACTGACACAATCGCAGTGATTTTAACCACATGATCTGGAGGTGCCCCTCTTTACAAAGAAAAAATAAAGAATTTTCCGAAAACTCCTTTCATTTAATGCTCAGGACTCTGGTTCTCGTACAACAACTCAAGGCTGTCCAGAAGGCCCACGATGCGGCGGTTAGGCTGGGCCACCCCATCCTACGTGCGGGGGGGGGGGGGGCGATCCTACCCCTGTAAAACGGGGGTGGAATTTTTCAGGACCCCAATAAAAGTTTTTCATCCATCATCCATCCATTCATTTGTGAAATACTGACGCCTTCCACAGGCCATTACAGGGAGTGAGTAGAGAGGTACACCGGCGAAGTGCATTGTACAAGAAGTCAAGCTAGACATAAATAATAACCAAAGCAACAAGGTTTGGCAAGTCTAGTAATTACAAAGGTAATGGTTGCAATGTACACTAAATTAAACTAGAAATTAATTACAATAAAATCAACAAAGAATTCGTAAGCCTTGTAGTCAAGATAGCAAAAAATAAAGTTAAAAAAAAAACTATGTTATAGCATACGAAAATACTCCTTTACTCTGCGCACCAAACTTTCTCACTATCCATGGCAATATCTTGGGGCAACATGTTCCATATTTCAACGGAAGCTGGAAAAAATGAAAATTTGAATGTGTAGCAGCGTGCTGACGTACTGCCTGAAATGCTTCTCGGGAATGGCGATGCGGTGGTTTCAAGTGTTCGTGCTTGTCTATGTTTATGCGGTTATTATAAAGCAAGAAAATAAATTTCATCGCTGTCACCTGCTGCCGGCAAGCAAGCATAGGAATTCCTACAGCATTTCAAAGAGCAATGATGCTACATTACGGTAATAGTATTTTGAAAAGATGAAACATAAGTGCTTTATTTTGGATTCTTTCTAGTCTATCTGCAAGGTACACCTAGTGGGGGTCCCAAACTATACGGCCATATTCAAGAATGGGGCGCACTAGAGTTTTGTAGACTGTTAACTTGACAGATGCATGAGCCACAGCTAACTTTCTGCGTAGAACCCCCCCCCGAGTGCTTTGAATGCTTTTGCGAATGCACTTTCAATATGAACGTTCCACTTTAAGTTGCTTGTGATGATTATACCTAAATATTTATAGAGTCTGTTCCTGTGATATGGGAGCCGGTCCACTTTATAAGTGAATATACTAGGTAAACTGCTATGGCTAATATTCATGTACTTTGTTTTGTTGACGTTTACTTCCATACCCCAGGTTAGACACCATTTAGTAATCTTACCTATAGATGGATTTAAAAGCATCTGATCGTCAACAACCACGCACACCGGTGTACATAACCAGGTCATCAGCAAATACACGTACCTTCACACCTTCTTCAACACAACTTACAATGTAATTAATATAAATCAACGAACAGCAGTGGACCTAGCACTGATCCTTTTGGTACCCCTGGATATACCTTAGGTAAATCAGAGTTGGTATTATTGTGACATACTGTGTACGACTGCACAGATAAGCAGTAATCCAGGTCATTAATCTTGGTTCAATACAAATAGACCTAAGCTTCTCAATTATCTTAAAATGTATTACACAGTCATGTGCTTTTGAGAAATCAATGAATTACTCATTGACGAGATTCCTTTCCCGACATGAAGCCTTCCCCAAGGTCAGTTTCGAGCTCAGTGGTAGAATACTTGGCTGGCACGAAGGGCAGACGGGTTCGAATCCCATTGTGTCCTTGGTGTCTTTAATTACTTACTTTTTTTTTTATTTCGAGCGATAGTGGTTGCAGACACCGGCGACGGCGGACAACTACGGCGCCAAAAACAACACTTGTGATCTCATAGAAGCTTTCGCAGTAAAAAAAAAAAATGCTTCGAGCAGGATCAGAACTGGACTGCCACAGAGTGCCTTGGTTCGTTCAGAACAACATTTGAACTAAGGCACTGTGCGTGGTGGTCAAGTATTCTACCTCAGAGACACACCATGCAGTGTAGAATGGTAGGAATCTAACATAACAGCAGGGGTTGCACAATATGAATTGCAAACATGCACTGTTTATGCTTCGCACCCATTACAAAAGGCTTAGTTGTAATTCATTATCATCATCAGCCACAGCATGAACAATGTGCAAAATGCCTTAGGCGTGCAGAGGTTACCTCACTTCTCTGCAGTTTGATTAATAATGGTGCAGCAGGTACCTCAATACTAACAAAATTATAATTTATGGTGTAGTGGGTGCCTCAACTGTATTTGCCGTACACGCCCCCAAGAGAGTTTGCAATGAGCTCTAGCAAGGTCGCTTTCTCCAGGTTTTGTGGCGACTGTAGTGCATTTTCCGCGCAGGCCTAGCTCGTTTCTTTTTTACAGCAGAGTTAAAGCAACCTTGAATCACTCTTATCTGAGGAGGATATGTGCCACAAAGATAAGAAAAGTCCCATTGCTTTCATTCGGTCTCCGAATAACGAAGATGCTATCAATAACTAGCCCAGAGGGTAACTGCCAAGCAGCTCATAACATAGCCTTGTATAGTAAGTATAGCAAGGAGATGGGAGAGAGAAGTGGCGAGGAGGAGGGAAGTGCAGAACATAACTATGCGCAGTACAGTGTGGCAAGAGGTGAGAAAGGAAAGGAAGGAGTAGGGAAGGTACAGTGGAGTCGAGCGTGAAAAGAAAGACGAGCGGGCGGTAGGGCAAAATCGGGCATGTGAGAAGGCAATTAATGTGCAGCCCTACTGAGTGTGGGTAGTACAACGTCATCAGCCTTTACAACGTTAAGTCGGTCAGTCGGCAGATTCTTGTTCTCCCAAGCCGAGTGTCTCGCATCTATTCTGGAATATTTGGCAATGGCCAAGCTAAAATTGATGCCACCAGCCTAGCTGTTAAGTTGGCCTTCATGACGTCAGTCAAAGCCAAGCACAATTTCTACTGCTCGCTTTAAAGTTTATTAATAAATAATGTTTGTTTCCTCTTCCTTTTCCTAGTTTTTCTCTTGGTTCATCTAGTCAAGCAAGATGATCCGAGATATCAATCAAGCAATGTTCAAAGCTGAAGTTCACTTTCGCTCGTGCTAATGTTTGTTCGAAAAGTATAGCGCAAGAACTTGCGAACCTCAGCCAGTACAAAACAAGCCCCAGCAATAATAGATATTTTCTAGAATTTTTTTTTGTGAATTCTGTAACATTGCTAGAATATTGGAAACGCAGCTACAGTAAAGATACGCTGAATGGGATGCCACTCAGCACCCTTGAACAGAGCTTTTGATGGAGTCTTGAAAACACTGAAATTATTCTGTGAAGCTTGTACAAACCTTGCATAGGAAGTCAATATGGCATGTGTATGTAGGCTCAGCAGTTGGAACGCCAAACACGCTAGATACTGTTTTCCATCTTTGCATGCTATGAAAAAAAAAAAAAGTTTGCAGCAGACCTGCCGACGCGAGTTACACTGGCATCACATTAAAAATGTCACCGAGTCAATGCTCACGTCTTGCTTTACATTATGCGCTTTGCCAATTCTGTTCCCGGTAGCAAAACCAACAGCCAGCACACAGTACAATCAATTTCAGACTAATACAAAAGCCTGCTGTGCTTCAAGGGCTCAGAGTTTTCTGTTTATGTTCGATAAACTCTCTATCCAGAAAAGCACATTAACTGGAAGTATTACCTAGAACGTGCCTTCAAGTTCATGGATAAAGGAAAGTTAGATGTGCATATGCTGAAAACGCTAATTGTATATTTCCTTGGGATCATTTGCAACAGGATTTATGATGGCGGCTTAGGTGATGGTTTCAGGGTCAAATTGCTTTAATTGGGGGGAGTTAAAGTTGCTGTCAGTAATGTACACAAGTGGCTTAGCCAGAGAGGCGTTTAAGGGTCTTCGCTCCCTTTTTTTTCCGGACAATTGTAAATGTTCTGTGTGTATGAGGGGGGGGGGTTACTCCTCCAAAATAAGTTTTTGGTAACGCCACAGTGGTACACAGTAAAGGTGACACGATGACATTTACTGGTCTCGACTACATTCAGGAGACAAGAAAACGAGCATACACATGTTAAATGGAAAAGATACTTTTATTTTTCATTGTAACTACATTGTACTTTACAACAGCTTGTGTAATGCAAGAGTATTGATGCGTGGGGTCCGTACAGTTAACAATATGCAACAACTCTGCTCTCTCGTCGTTTTTTTTTTTTTTAAGTTTCGGCCTGTCAAAAATACCATTCAAAACCTTTTCCTTGATGGTGCGATATATGCGTCACATCATGTAGTCCATGCCATCTGTTAAGCTGCAGAAGTAAAATCACTCTGCTTAAAGCAAGGCAATAAGGTGTAAACAAAACAAAATGCAAAACCGTGGAGAGACCAAATGACTATATCAGGCAGGCTTAATCCATGGCTGTCAAGGAAACGAGAAGATGCGCAGACATCTCCTTGTAACTGTTGGCAATGACGGAAACAAAGAAAAGGAAAAACTGCCCGAGACACTCTACGTGTACGATGCGAGAAAGAAAAACGAAAAAAGTAAAGCCTACGTCAGCATGCTAAAACACGGAAAAAACTATCGGGAATACGCATGTGGATATTTATATGCATATCATCTCTGCTAGCCAACAAAAATGGCTCCTCGCTCTCACTAGACAAAAACTTTCGATGTACACTGCCGTATTTTTTTTCACGCGTTTTTCCTGAGAGGCGACACTCTACGGAAAGAGAAAAAGAAGTCGAGAAAGTCGCGCAGCCTAACTGACCAGCTACTACAATCTGCACATAAAAACATAACACGAGAACCAGATAAACAATCGAGCCCGAAATGTCAACAACAACCTGCCGCCACAACGAAGGATGGCAGCCAACAAACGCTCGTTCACTTCCAATGAATGGTGGGGGTGGGGCTCGTGGCGGTCCTAGAGAGAAAACAAAACAATGCAAAGGTGTGGCTATGTACACAACAGTCTATAAAACGCAAAATAACAGATGAGGAAAAAAAAAGTAAAGGTTTTGAGGTCAGGTTTTCTTCATAAAACACTCGCACCCCTGCCGAAGAACATTCCACACCCCGAATTGCAAGACGATATCGCCCAGCCTTTTCTGCAACACCTGGGCACAGCTTCTTTAGCGAAGCGGTACGGTAGCCGTGCAACCACAACGCGGCAGTTTCGACAGATGCTAACATCACTGCAAGCCCGGGACGAATAGCTCGAGAACTTTGCACGTGCCTGCACCGAGCCTTACAATCCCACATCGAGGTACAGTAGACTACTGATAAGTCAAGCCCTGCGCTGCACCAAGCGCTAGATTTGCACTGTAGTGGTTTAAGAAAACGTATGGATGCAAAACGGATGCACAAGCGTAACCACATTCTCTCTTCATTAGTTTGTTCTGCTAAAGCCGAGAAAGGTCTGTAGTGCGAGTGAAGTCAATTTCGCAGCGTAAACAACACGTCGATGTCACTATTTCACAAATACTGCACCAATTCCAACTCTGGAAAGAAAAAAATAAGTAACTGCCCTGTTTTCTGTTTCAAGCTATGTACTTTGAGAAAGCAAACAACTGCAAAGGATGCTTGCATTGCATGTCACAAATGGTCACCAAAAAAATAAATGCATCAAAAACTTTGAAGATTTTTCACAAGTATGAGCACATTGGTCACAGCGATGGCTACTGCGCCGAGGTGCGCCAGAATTTTAGAGCAGTATCCCAACATTCATAAGCAATAAAGCTTATCTTTCTTTTCCTTCTTCTAATCAGATACTCACAACATTTCCTGCAATAACAGCACGTACAACACAGCACTATCAACATGCTTTCTGGAATGTGCAAAAGGGCTAATGTGCACACTTTACAGCAAGATTTTTCGAAGCACTTTTGTTCTTGACAAAGAACCATCAGCAGGCATGCTTTGGGGTCAAGACTGTACTCTGTCGCCTGGCGATCACAGTTAGTTGAGTTAACGGTAGTCTACTGTTGCGTCACAGGAGAAAAGTGGCGCGATCTTCTCTGCAGCGGCAACTGGTCCGCTCACGTGACCGTCGCAATGATGTGCTTCTATGTCCTCAGTGGCTGACGCTTCCCATTGGCTGACAAAGATTACACGATCGGGTATGCAGCCAAAGTTGCTGGCACACGCGGTGTTAGTCACATGCGAAGTAACAGTGCTTGCCACCTACCACTGAAACGACCGAGGCAAGAACATGCAGCGCTGGCAGTGACGCAACCGAACAGCGATTCATCATCGGGCACGGGCTATATCCGCGCGAGTGTCGGTCACGTAGGTGCACCTGTTTCCGCTGCAAATGAAACGACCGTCCTGAGAAAAATAAGCACGCTGCCGCGGCGTGCAAGTCTTGGACGTTTTGTGTGCGCTGAATCTGCGCAAGACCAGGCACTTTGGTTGAGTGTGCTCAACAGACTGTGCAGTCCACACAAATTTGTTTTCTTCTCAAGATTTGCGAGTACCAATACATCATGCTTCAAAATATAGAAGAATAATAATTGAAAAGAATGCGACTAGCAGCCTGAGCATCAGGTCAGCTGTGACATGGCTACGGCGACTTCTACTATATAGTGAAATAACTTTTTTTTTTCTGTTTCTATACAGCATGCTTAAAAGCTAGGCCTGAGCAACACTAAATGTACGTCAGCAAGTGAAACCTTGATGGTACGGTTGCACACGCAGCTTTCGTCTGTACGAGACACGTCGCATGTACACGTGATTCTTCAAATTTCGACGATTGGACCTTCGGATGTATATATTTTTTGATGCGGCAGCGCTGCATCCTGCCACGCTCAGCTGCATCCCGCCATGGTGAAATGCATAGATTAAGATTAGAACAAGATTGTCTAAAATGCACAGCATCTTCAAAGTTTCAGGTTGTTGTCGATGAAGAAAGCACTCTGCTATCCAAGCCAACATGCAGAAATGGCCGTAGTACGAATACATTTTGCAGCATTGGCACCGCTCCAGTGCACGTTCTCGGTACTTCTTGAACAAGCAAGGAACAGCACGCTGCTGGAGCATTCTTTTATTTCAGCAACAGTCTTCAAGACTGCGAGGAATCAGAATACTTAAACAATAAAAGAAATAGGGAGGCAAAAATGCTGTGCTATTGGCAGTGGGCGACGCAGGCACGTTGACTGCCAAAGATGATATGTGAGAGACATACATCATTGCAGTGCAAGTTACAGTATACCTGGCATAGCCAACATGCTTTTACAACACTGGCTACAGCTTACGTATCATTAAATTAAACAATCGTTTATAATGTTTTGAACTGTATCAAAATAGACTATGAAGAGATGTGCGAGTGGTTACCTTGACCTCTGAGCACAGCTAAATTGCGCAAGAAGACTGGCTAATATTGATCATTAAATTAACTTTTTTTTGAGTAAAAGATAAACAAGCTTCTTCATTGCCTTTACCTTTAGACATAAATATTGCAGCTATGTCGAGAGCTTCAAAACAAACACAATGCAAGAAGCAAACAATGCACTGTCCATGCCACTTGTGCTATCCTGCTACCTCTGCTGGCTAGACTACAACTACAGTTTAAAAATTATATGTCCTTAACTCAGAATTTGGATCATCTCACATTTCAGCATAAAAAGGTCCACAAGAGAACAGAACAATATCTTTTATTGGAGCCGTGTAGTTTACTCCCATTACATAATCACTGTGCTCGTGATGTCATTTGATACAGCGCGTCCATCGTACCACCACGGTTTCACACGATCAAAAGCAAGCACTAATACGAAGCATCCAACATCGTATTTTTCCTTGCACAATGCATGCAAGCTACTGTCATGGCCAGGCCAGCACTGAATGCAAAAGAAGCGAGGACACATTGTTGTAAGCAGCATTTCTCGGCATCTAACAACACTTTCACGACTGGAACTTGGAAAAGTCGGGAGCGTCAGTTTTTAAGCCTCCTAGCAAAGGTACCCGCGACAAACACTCGCAAGACGCTGCGAACACGAACTGCAGCTGTCGCACATTGGGACAGCGCTGCTTTACATCAACAGCGTTGCTGCCGGGAGTCGTCGAACAGCTGATTATGAGAGCCACCTGACCACTCTTCTTTAAACGTGTGTGCCCACAGTGACCTCGTGAGATTTGTACTCTAGGATGAAGTGATACATGTGGCACAAAGAAAAAAAATTTATGAAAAGAAAAAAACTCGAGGAAAAAAGGAAGGCGCGAAAAAAAAAACAAGCTATGTACAGGTGTTCGCTCGCGTAAGCCGATCGTACATGGCCTATATGAGGCCAGCAACTTCGCGCCGCGCAGCTGAAAAGAAAAAAGAGCTCAGCCCTAAATTTGAAGACGAGACCGTAAGTGAACGTAATCCAACATCGAAGAGAAAAAAAAAAGATTCAGTAAGCAAGATGAAAAGCAGCACCTTTTTTTTTTTTTACACCAAGCAGACACGGGCGTCAGCGTGAGAGGTGAGGCTCGAATGAAGGTGAGAAGTGCAAGACGAAAAAGAAAAGCCGGAAAGCGAGATGTCCACATGCCAAAGCTCTCTTTGATCCTGTGTCTCGAGGCACGCAGCCTCCAAATGTTGAAAACTGCATCCGCGAATGAGGTGCATTTCTGTCAGACGCGCGGAGGCAATGGCAAAGAGTGTGTGGGTGGCAGTAGAATTATGTTGTCACTTTGCGAGACGGCCCGGTGGCCGCTGCAACGGTGGCAGCGAGAGAAAGGAGAAGGCAGGATTACTCCAAGAGTGCGATTGGATCGTGCGCATTCCGAGCCGCCGAAGGCTGAGCAGCGACCTGACCGAGCGCTCCGTTGACGGCTCGGCACATTACGCGAGGGGCTCGCGGAAACGCTCTTCGAGAACTCGGGAGAGGGTGGCTCACGCGCCCAGTCGAAGCATACGATTTAGGAAAATGGAGGGCATGCAAGAGAGAGAGAGGGAATAACGAAGCAGGGCTGCCTGCCGGAAGACAGTGCACACGGATGACACACAACAAAGACGAGACAAAGCTGCGAAGGTGGCCAGCAAAACAGCAGCGCGACGTTTCTTGAAAGGATGGCGCCGAGCAGTTGTTTGGTTCGTCGTCGTGAAACTAAAGAAGCGCCTCGTTTTTTGTTTATTTTCGGAATGTGGGGGGCACTCTGCGACTCTCTCCGAATGCCGTTTTCCACGCGAGCAGCGTCTTCCCGATGACGGTGTTTTGTTGCCTCGGTTGGCGAGGGCACGATGCGAAGATGGATGCTCCTTCCCCCGACTTCTGGATGTCTTGAGACGACGACCGAGGATCGAGCGGGAAGGAAGGTGGACAGAGAGGGAAGAAGAGGGAGAGGGAGCTGGGATGTGCAGGCCGATTGCTCAGACAAGCGCAGGCACTGACTGGTCGAGGGCACTGAGCAAGTCCTCGCCAGTGAGCAGTTGCTGGATTGGCGCATTGACCTCGGCATCCAGCTGACTCAGGTCCTGCAATGTTGGAATAGGCTCGTCTAGCAGGAGAGGAGCGGGACGTGGAGACGACGGCGGGCACCTCTGCGCAAAGAAAAAAAAAAAAGAAAGAGGACGGCACAGTCAATTCATGTAAATTTTGTCACAAGATTGTCGATATGAAGTGAAGCACTGCAGAGCATAAAAGACTTTGTGACTTGCAGCTAGAGTACAGTCTCATTAAAGGGAACCCGAAGGGGCTGGTAAAATACAACCTGTTTAACCGAAGCTATGCTTTAACGGGATGTGCTGCGTTGCAGCGGTCAAATTCAAAAGCCAACAAATGTAAGGGCAGTTATGTTTAAGCAGCAGTTCGATCTAGTGGCATCTTCGACTGCTGGCACCGGTGGTGTAATCTGAGCCCTCGCATGGTGCCGTACATTTGTCTGGGCACCACGCGTGCGGTGCCGCCAGTTCGACTGGGCTGGCCACGACCCGAGTGCACGCCACCGCGGCACTTCAGAGGTCGGCGGTGGAGCGTGGTGCAATCCCATCAGCCCGCGTGTGCTGGCAGACGATGCGGTGACGTTCCATCAATTCAGGCGTAATTTACAGCTGGCGCTGCCGCAGAACACGGACGGACAGGACGGAAAAACGTACAAGAGCTTACATTCTCTGACCATACTCGCATAAGGCTACTTTGGTACCAGTATATTTCACTGGACACTGAAGGCGATGCGAAAATTACTGTAACCCTCGTAGAGTTGGTGCAGAACTTATGCCGCACAGCCGCCTGGAGAACAGACGCGCACCCTCTGAACAAGTACCGCCTCGCAAGTGTCTCGTATTGTATGGTTTTTGTCATTTTCTCTTTTATTTCCAGTACAAACTAGACGGTGAAAATTGTCGTCTGATAAATGGCGTCTATAACAGACGACGCTGCTGTTGTGGACTAGAGTCGTGTGGTTCACACATTTGTCTGGCCCGTTGCAGGGTGTGAAACGCTGGTGGTGTTTGACGTAACTTCCCTTCCACCGTCCCGGTGCCAGTGCACCTCAGCCAAAGATGCCATAAACGAGTTCATTTGAACGACCTCCTACTGTAAAACCACCACATTCAAAGCGTCTTTAATCCACCACTCAACATGCAACTGCAAATGGATACGACTATGCCAACCATATCTGTGGTAGCCGAATAGGAAAGCGTAGTCACTTGTGGCACATGAAATGAGGGTTCATCATTCGAAATTGAATGCTCAAGAAAGCGAAATCTTAATTTTGGCTTCTTATGCAGCTATCGTTACAACCAGAGAGCACATTGCCATTTCTGACTAGGTTGTCAAGCTTGGCTACCTTCGAGGTGGGCGAAAGCGTGTAAAAACTCTTGCGACTGCACCCCTTTGGGTACATAAACTGAAGTCCCCATCAGTGCCGTATTGAAGAGTGACGTTATGTTAGACTGCTACGAAAGCCAAGTCTGGCCTTGTTTAGAGCGACCAGATGCAAACAGCGACGCTGTTTCACGCCAAAAGAACCGTTTCAATTTCTTTTTAGTCTACGAATGGGATAACGAAGTACCGGTTGTAACACAGTATGTGAACAATAACATTGTAGTATATATTAGGGTCAGTCATACAGCCTTGAAAAAGCTGCGAAATGAATCTCAAAACAGTAATCACACACCCACGACTCACCTTGTCATAGCGCAAGGTTTGGCACAGGTATCCATGGCAGGCGTCTTCTCCGTTCACCAGCAAGTTCAGCAGCACGCTGTCTTTGTTCTGGAGCTGCAAGCCTGAAACGAAGAAGAAAGATTATGAGACTAGGAGGAGAGCTGCTTCTGCTTTATTCAAAGACCAGTAATAAGAATTACCAGCCCTTTACAACTACTAAGTCTCTATCACATACTTGTTGTCCACAGCCAATGCAGCTCAAAATCAACTTTATTAAACCCTTTCATTACAATTATAAAATACGAAAAAATGTGCCAAAACTACCACCAAACCACTTTTGCTCAATTTGTAGTTTTTTTAAATTTTCTCAATAAACTTGTACCATTCTTTCAACTCAATGGGGGCTCCTTTATTTTACAAAATCAGTACAAAACTCGAAAGTGGCCTCACCGCATTGCCATGCAACGAAAAATCGCACCAAAATGAAAGCCGAGGCACAGATGGCCTAACACAGACAAGTGTCGCCATTTCATTTTGTCGCCATCTAGCGTCAAGAAATGCCAGTACGATGCGTGAAGTTTTCACTGTTCATGTGTGGGAACAATCTTCGTTGGTAATGAGTGTGGTCATTATCGGTCACTTTGTTACAAAAAGTTTGCTGTGCTTAAATATTTGTTAGTTATGGGCTCCCTGTCTCCCGAATCCTGGCAATGAAGTTGAGGTGTGCTTACCTCGCAGGTCTATCCGCATCCTCTTGGGGCTGGCCAGCTGCCCAGCCCCCAGGGCCCGTTCCGTGGAGCCACGCTTTGGCGGTGGGTCCGGCGGGGATGGCATTCCCATCTTCTGCTCCAACGCCGTCGTCACGTACGCATGTGGCCGACCGTCGCTCGCCGTCGACAGACCCCGTGTCAGGTGGCCTCTCGTCATCGACTGGTGCAGTTGCTGGTGCGGATGCGTCAACCGCGCTGACCTACGAATCGACGGTGACACAGATCTCATTCACTCATAGGCCTTTTTAGGTATGTTGAAGGGTTGAAAAGCGCTATAGTACTCGGTTTCTACCTAAAAAAAATTTAAGCTCTGCCCACAGCTGTGACTGTCCCATTTAGAAAAAATATGCATGGATACCCTATCTAGTGGCAGTTTCTCATTTCTGTGATGTCTAACACATGACATATTTCAAGCAGGGGGATCTTTTCACACAGACACATGCCGAGGTCACTGGTTTTCGGTCAAGAACTTGAACTTCCTGCCCAATTTCGGCAAATAATTGATTGATATGTGGGGTTTAACGTCCCAAAACCACTGTATGATTACGAGAGACGCCGTAGTGGAGGGCTCCGAAAATTTAGACCACCTGGGGTTTTTAACGTGCACCCAAATCCGAGCACACAGGCATACAACATTTCCGCCTCCATCGGAAATGAAGCCGCCGCAGCCGGGATTTGAACCCGCGACCTGCGGGTCAGCAGCCGAGTACCTTAGCCACTAGGCCACCGCGGCGGGGTGATTTCGGCAAATACTTTGAGATCACAGCTCAGTCAGGTGTAACACTTTGCGTAGGCACAAAAAACGCTTAATTCTTTGTATGTGTAATATTTACATTAGCAGCACAAAAGTACACTCAAACCTCAATATAACGAACCCAGATATAACAAAGTATCAGTGATAATGAAGTAAATGGATAATAGTTTTAAAATATATATATTATTAGGGATATACCTTCATAACGAATTATCGGATATGGTAAAATTATTTTCGTGTAGGATGCAACTTTGTTACAGTGAGGTTTGAGTGAACTGGCAGTTAGAATAGAAACCATCTACCAGAAATCTCTTACGCAGATCAGTGGCAGGCGTGCCATAATGCTTGGGATAGAGCTTGTATTTGCACTTAAGAAACCGATAATGGATTAATTTCTCGCCAAATATACGAGCCAAGCTCATCTTTATTACCAGGTGCCTTATGAAGTTCTATTTGTGCATAACCACTCTTGCACATGGTTTCCTTGGTACGAAGTCTGATGCTTAGCCAGTCCTGCCTTCAACAGTGCTCATATAAAAACAGAACTAAAGTTGACAAGCTGTGCCAGTAGATAACGCTGAGTTAACTAAGCACATTACCACTACCCTTTACAATACTGGTAACTGACAAGCAGCACCATAACGCGGTGCTGTTGCGTTGTGCGTGTGGGACGTCGCACCCGAGGTCTGGAAGATGGGGACGTGGACAAAAAGACTGTTCGATTGGGGCTCCTGGAGGGCCAAGTCTCCTTTTGCTATCGAGGTCCCCATGGCCTCCTACCACACTGCTAGTCTCTGGCTATTGTCCGGCATCTACACTTGCGTCACTACCTGAATCGCCTCTATGAACAGAGAATTCCAGATCAGACTGAGGGTTCAAGGCACAGACATTCCTGAAAAAGAAGTATAGACTAAATCGGTGGTTCTCAGCCATGGATGTGTCGGGGACCCCTTGTGGACTGGTGGAAGCGATGGGGGACCCCTTGCAGCGGAGGGGAGGAAAGGGAAGTACGTAGGTAAATTAATTACCATAACTAAAGCGTAAGACAAGTTCCTTTTATTGCTACCAATAATATCAAACAAACGTGCTACATCACTTCATTTAAGACAGTTCATCAATACGTGGCACAGTCACGATTAAGAAAAGATGCGCGCGAGGGTATCGCGGATCATACAAAATAGCTTCGGGTCCGCGGACCCCCATTTGAGAACCACTGGACTAAACCATCAGTGTACTGTCCAGTGCGCAGTTGAAGGGTGGTCCATTTGCCACTTACAGTATGTTCTCAGCAAATACAAACCATTTAATTGGAAGAGCTGATGAAATGAAACAACTGTCTTTTATATGATGGCTTTCACACTCATATTTTGCACATCCCTCCCTTTCATCTCTTGGTAAACTAAACTCCTGTTATCTTCTTGGTCCCTTTATAAGAGTCTGCTGTATTACTGAGATATATGCAAGGATGCCAAGACAAGTTTATCATGTGTACCTATATGCCTTGCCGATTACACCAGGGGATTTTTAGAGACAGGGGATATAAAAAAATTTAGTAATGCTGTTTTCATCAACATCCGACTGTGCCTATCAACAGCTTACATGCCCGCTTGTTCCCATTACCTCGCCATGTCTTGCCGATGTGGCCCGGAGACTCCCGATGACCTGGGGTGATTCGTTCGTGCTCGGTGCTTGGTCCACTCTCGTGACCTTGAAGAAGGTGGCGGCAATTCAGCCACCAGGAGGGCAGCCAGACTGGATTTTGGGTTGGGACCCAGAGACCCCAACGTTGGCCTCGGAGGAGACGAAGAGGTGCCAAAAAATGTCGGGCTGTAAGTGGCATCCAGAGACTTAATTTATTAAAACGGGCACGGCATGTTCAAACAACACAAGCTGCAAAAGCGGAGCCCCAGGCCCTAACTACAGTAACATGTACAAAGTCCGACTGTAAAGTGACGAGACTGCGTTTTGTGAAGAGAATTTAGAGATTTGTACGTATTAAAGTCATAAGAAAAGTTTCCTTGGGCATTGGTAAATGTAAGCCTACAACGAAACTCGGACACCGATGCGATCAAGTGCGTCCAACTCAATTCCCACACGACACAGCCTCGATGCGAGCTCAGCAAACTGCTTCGCGTTTCCAAAGCTCCAGAGAAACCTGAAAGGCTGTTCTTATTACGATGTTCCCATCATCAGTCTCTGGGAGAGGTCACGGCAGTCGAATTTCCGAGAGCCCTTGCAGCACGCGAATCCCATTGGAAGCAGCCACCCAATGAAACCTATGTTGAAAGACTTAAATGATATTCTCTTTTAAAAGACCCGCTTTTGTTAGGCACCTTATGAACAGGCCACGCAGACCACACAAGACGCCTAGAGTTACATCAGACACGTTAGTGCAGTGGTTCTCAAATGGGGACGAAGGACCCCGGGGGTCAGTGAGGTTGTCACTGCTTGCGGACTATGGTTCTCAAATGAAGGTCCTCAGACCCAAGAGAATCTGCGAGGTTGCTGCTGCTTATGAAGTCCATAAGCAGCAACGTCCAAGCATTTTCTCTGCGCGAACCACTGCATTAGTGAAACACGGCGATGGGAGTTGGGGTGGTGGCCGTTGCGTACAAAGATTCGACCCTGGAGAGTTATCGACAGCGTGCACGCACCTGTTGCAGAGAGAGCTCCGACTGGACGAGCTTCCGGGAGAAGAGTCCTGGGGCCCCCACATGACCGAGTCGGGACTGAGCAGGGGGAAGTCATCTCCGTGCATGGAGATGTACGGTGCTCGCATGTCAAAGTCATCGTCCTGTCAAGGTGCGAGAAGCGGTGAAAGATATAGTCATCGGCACGTGCACAGCCGCAAAAGAGCTCTGAGCAATCAGTTATGAAGTACCAGAAACAATGTCATGCCACATACATGCCTCCACTTTTCACGTTGGGCAACGAGAGAAAGTCCGAGCTGCCCGACCGACGAAAGAGCACTGCTTCGGCCACATTTGACACCCAGAGCCATGCAACACAATTCTCACGTTCAGTCATCAGCCCCGCTTTTACTTTTATATGATCTAACAAGCGTTGCAGTGCCTCCATTGTTGAAATCAGAGGGAAAAGGCAGGAAAGTGGTGGCACTGTGTGTGGAAAGTGGCTGCATGTTGCTCTTCTGCGATTTCCAGCGATTTACAGAGTCTTAGATAGATAAACGTGAGATAACTGTACATAACAAACAACTGGGACCATCGTTCGGTCCAATAGCCACCTTCACTCGCATTGTCATCCTCTGTTAACACTTGCTGTGCCAACACACATAGAAACTGTACTCTTACCATTCCCTAGCTGCCTTGTGCTGTATATTGCTACGTGTGTCATGTTACCTACGCTCCGTGTTACCGTTCCTCTGCCCTCTTGAAACCTCTTTTTTGGCAGCTCAAGATATTATCAATCAATCAATCAATCAATCAATCAATCAATCAATCAATCAATCAATTATTTCACGATATAGATGCGCTCACTGACCAAGTCAAGGTGAACAAACACAGGCATTTCGGGACCCATTCGGGTTCCTTGTTCACACAGAGAGCGAACAAGAAAGAGTTAGAACAAGGAACCCGCAAGGGTCCCGAAACGTCTCAGTGTTTTTTCCCCTTGACTTGCTCAGTGACCGCGCATCTACATCCTCATCACGATACCTGACCAGACGAACTTTCGTCGCACCCTCGACTACAATCAGAAGTTTACTTCATCAGGACATTCTGGATTGGTCTTCAGGGCTAAAAGCTGCTCTAGACACCTTGACTAGGTCCATGAAGACCCTTAAACCGGCAGGATACGACGTTCACAGCATGAACACGCATGTAAGAATTGAATTGGAATGTAAATTAACAATATTGTAAGAGCTTCAATAGGCGCAATGAGCAGATAAATGCCGCACGCGGCAGCTGCGTGGAGGCAGAAATGCTCAAGACCTGTGTACTTAGATTTAGGGGCAGGTTAAAGAACCCCATGTGGTCAAAATTTCTAAGCTCTCTACTACAGCGTCTCTCATTGTCATATCATGGTTTTGGAATATTAAACCTCGACGATTATTATTGCCACACGAAGAGCAGACAACAATGGATCTACAAACACACCTGGAGATCTGTGTGCCCTTCGGGCTTCAGCTCGAGGCCGGCAAACCTGTCCACGGGGCTCTCGATGCTGGGAACGTCCGAGCAACTGCTGCAACGCCCTTCTCCGTCTGAGGACGGCGGTGTGCCACATGATCCTGGCGACGACAGCGGGTCACTGTCATCCCGGTAACTGAGGAAGGGGTCTTTCCGACCCAGCGGGCAGTCCTCCTCGGGAGGAAGCAGTGCATAGTCTGGCAACAACTTGTTTTCGTCGCCATAGATGTCCGACAGAGAGAATGCATCACCAAGCACATCTGCAAATGAAGGGGGGGGGGGGGGGGGGGGGGCGAAAATGCGATTGCCAATAAGTCAGGCTGGTGGGCATACTGCTGAGGATGACACAACTGGCATTTATAATGATGCACTTCGAAAAACGACAGAGGCATTTGCATCAGTCTGATTGCTATATCATTTCTCCCACAAGCAGAACGTATTAAAGAACTGATGATTCAGTCAGTCAGTCAGACGAACTTTAATAAGAGTTCAGGAAAAGAGGTGTAAGCCGATGCTTTTAGTAAGCTTTACGGGGACACTACAGAAAGAAAGAAAAAAAAAAACGATTCGTTTAATTTTAGTAGGGTACTCTTTCACAGTTCCAGCATCACAACACTTGCTGCGAAAAGAGACTTGGCAAGCGAGAAAATGCGCAAAAAAAAAAATGCACGTGGTGACAACACCTCGAAATTCCCTCACCAAACGTAGCAATGTGGCAGATTTTGAGATCTACCAGGCTCTATGTAGTTCATAATCAGTAGAAGTGAAGTGCATTGTCCTCTACTAAATGCATTCTTTTTGAACATCGACACTACCTATTCAATGATTTTTGCTGCTGTTTTTGAGCAGCGTAGCCAGCATTCCCTAAAACTACTTTACTTGCAACTTCGAAAGCATAACTGCCCATTCATGCACTACTCAAACACTCAAACCTCGATATAACGAATATGAATATAGCGAAATATCGGTTCTAACAAAGCATATGAACAATAGCCTTGCAATAGAGTTTTCGAATATAATGAACTTATTTTCATGTAATATGCAATTTTGTTATAATGACGTTCGGGTGTAATTTGTTATGAGTGTCGATACTATAACTTGGAGCATGTACAGTTGCAGCGATTGCAATATGCATAATCTGCACCAAGTAGTTTTGGAACAGCTTTGGAACAAATCATATGCCCGTTTCCTGAATTTGTGTTTGGCTTCACAAGTGCGGCAAGTAACAGATCTGCACGTAAGTGGTGTAATACAATAACATTTTTTGCTCCTAACGCCTTGTCAGCTCGCATGGTTTCATCATGCTCATTCAACAACTTGGTCAATTATTGATATACCAAGTTTATATGTAACTTTAATTTTACTTATTAGCATCGTTTTAGGTTTCCTTTACGTTGCAGTGCATAGCAAATCAAGTCACAAGTGCAGCCAATGCTAGAAGATATATGGGGACGATACTGCTGCAAGTTTTCGCATAGTATTAACAAGGTTGCGTGCATACCAGAAGGCAGACCCTCCAATGGAATGGTGTCGTCGCCAGCCCGCGGTGCCAAGTGGGTCAAGTCCTCAGGTTCCGATTCCTCTCTCAGCACTGCAAACACAGGAGGAAAAAAAGGGGGAAAGAAAAGCAAGGTTAACCACAGAAGCCAGGCACTGCACTTACAGAATCATTTTTTCTTTGTGCCTCTATAACACAAGAGAAGTTGTGCGACTGTGTCAGCCCCTCCCCCTCCGAGGAAAACAATTTCGTCACAGTGTCCAGAAATGCTTACGCTTTTCTTGCAATGCTGGCAGCAAAGATTGACTAACACTCAAGTTGTGGACCAATGGTGAACTGTTCTTGGGAAAAAGATAGAAAATTACTGTACAGCATAATAAAACTACATTTAATTACTCTGTTATTATAAAGACTCACTACTCACTAGGTGAACGAAGACTGCAATAGTTTGAAATTGATGCGAGACTGACTAACTTATCGACAGTCCTTCATAATCTGCCACTTGGAAGAGATGAGATCTTGCCGACAGTGTACAAACAGTACAGAAAAACAGAATTAAAAAAAAAATAAAGAGAGGAAACAATACGTTAAGATGAGCCCTGCTTTTCTGTATGTTAGTGTGAAATCTGGAGGTGCTGTGGAATACTCCTGCAGCCCAGTGTTCTCAACTTTGCCAGTGCCCCCCCCCCCCCAAGAAAATGCTTACACCTTTACCAGTGATTTGACACTTGCTTGATTTTCAATCGGCTCATAATTCATTTTATCGAATCATGAAAGCTCATCAACAGTGTTTTTGTTCCATTGTGTTTATTCAAGCGAAACAAAAGCAAAACACTCACGAGCAGACCAGCCGACTCACCTGTGAGGCCGCTGTCATCGTCAGCGAAGATGAGGAAGCCCTTGTTCATGTCCGCCGTGCGAGGAGCAAAGATTTTGCTCGTGCTACTGCAGAAGCACTGCTCCTCGTCGTCCTCGTCTTCGGATTCAGACTCGTCCTCCTCTGCTGCTGCTGCTGCTGCCGCTGCTGCTTCAACCACAGGGGCAGCCGGCAGTGGCTGCAACTTCGGCTCCGGCTCCTTCGGCTTCACTGCTGTTGAAGTCAGTTGCTGCTCCGCGAGCACTTCATGCTTCTCGCTGGCACCACTGCAAGCATGACAGAATGGAGCGATCAATGACAGAGGGGTCACGTTATGTATGGACTGAACCTGTTAAATGCATGCAATCCCTCAGTCGTGAGTGGAGGGAAACTAGATTAACGAGACCCTGTAGTGGTTTTCTTGACAACTAAGCACAAACCAAGCGAGTTTGCAGTATAGGTAATTTAGATTAACAAACCAAATAAAGTGCTCTGCATAAGTGCATAATTTAGCTTGACCTCAGTGAACTAACCTACATTGGTTTACAAGAGTGCACAAAATTTTATACTGTGATAAAAAAGAGACTGGCTGATTACAAAGCTGGGATCAAAGACATCAATGCACAGATGGCATCAACTTCTTAGTCTTCAGCTGCTACAACCTACAACTGCACACAAACAGGCAATTGATCCTTTTTTTTTTCTAGAACACTATGTGCCGTTAATAATAAATTTTGCTCTCAAAGCAAATACAAGGGCGTACGTGCAACCTTAACCCAGCAACATCTTATCCTAGACGAATATCTGCTCAGATGCCTAACAGCAAATAAAAGCTAAATTTATCACCGACCAACACCATAGTTACTTCTGTGGCTTCAACTGCGGCTTCAACAAACCACAGTGTCAAATTTAATAACGGCACACTAAAACAAAAAAGAAGGCAAGTATTTAGTTGTCATCAATTCAGAAAAATAAACCGCTCCCTTTGCATGCAGCCTGAGGCTAAGGAGCATAAATAAGCAAGTCCAAGACAAGAGGCTGGATACATTTTTCTCGCTGAAATGAGCTATGTCAATGCAAAAGAAATAAAAGTGCAAATAGAGAAACTATCTCTGCAACATGTGAGGTAAAAAATACCTTTCTTTGAAAAGTTACAGTTACAACACAACATACAAAACTCAAGCAAGGGGGGGCATAATTATAGTCGCGTCCTACACGTTGCAACATATTGTTTGTGCTCAAAGAGGCACAAACACTGAATAGCAGTGCCGACAAAAATATGGCGAAGTAGACACTGTTTCAGCTGCCGAGGTTTTTTAAACCAATTCAATGTCTGCCAGTGCCACCCTTCAGGCATGGGTACTCTTCAGTCACTGCTACAGTGCTGCAACTCGTATTGAGCGCGACCGTACATCTCAAGACATTAAGGTCACGCAGCAATCTGTTCCGCGTACAACGAGCGTGGGCAGGCAGAAACTACCACTACAAGCAGTGTAATGAAGACAACAGGACCTTCCCTGCCAGAGATGAGCATCGAGAAACAAAGGCCCGAGACGGGCATGCCTTGAGTGACATCACAATGCGCGTCGACTGCCAAGAAGAAAGGACGGTTGGGAGCGTGTTGCTTGCCTCAGCACGTAATTGACGCAGACGACGCATTGTGGCTTGCTGCAGCTGCTGTTCTCGTAGATGAGGGTCGCCTGGGTCAGCACCCACACGCAGCCACCATGCTTGGCCAGGAAGCGGTACTGGCCGGTCTCGCACTGGCCCTTGGCGAACACTGCAAACACAAAAGGCACGCGCTCAATTAACAACAGCGGGATATTTGGTCATGATCTATCACTGCAGGTAGTGCGACACTTTACATAGAATGAATACAGGAGAGACTAACAGAGTGCTTGTGGTGCGTACAGGCTGTATCCGTCCTTCCTAAAATGTTGCACTACCGGCAATGATGTAACCTATGCAGTCAAGTGGCTCACAATGGCTTAATCGAGACACTGTGAAGCAGCTCGAAGGAATGTATAGTATGGCCCACTTTGTAAGAAGTTGATGCTTCAAAAGTTGAACCACTACTTGAGAAATTTAATCAACATCATCAGCCTGATTATGCCCACTGCAGGGCAAAGGCCTCTCCCACATGCCCATTTAACTTTCTGCATTCTCCCTCACATGCTTGCTTTCTCTAGGGATCCATTCTGTTACTTCTAATGGTCAGCAATCATCTTGCTTTCTCACCAAAAGCAGCATATGCAATTTGTTCTCTCAATTTTGGTTAGGATCTATTTAACAAACATCTGTTCCTTGACGCACCCTCCTTTCCGCTTGTCCCTTAAGGTTACACCTATCAGTTTTCTCCCAAATGACCCATTAGGGGAATTCAGTGTGGTTTACTGAACATGCTTTTTAAATGCCAGTTGACACAATTGAATAGCTTAAGACACACACACAGAGTGCTAGATACCAAGTTGTCTTTCTTTGTGTTCTTCCTTGCACCTACGTCAGATAGCAATCTAATACTGTTGCTTGCAAAAAACACTTTCTTAAAACTGCCACCTGCCACTAAGAAATGGTGTGTGACATGTCATAAGATGTCGGCATAATATCGCAAGGTAATATTGTCTTGCGGTTTAATGTAGACCTGCCTAATACTTTCACATAGGACATACGACATTATAGCATGAAAGTCCTGAGGACAATAAGTGAACTGATATCATTGAAGAGCTGAGATAAGACTTCACTGATAACATTGTAAACATAAGCACTGTAGACGTAGTAAAGGCAGATTTCTACAGTCGAGGTCATGTTGCACGATACCTCTTCATACGATTGATTGATATATGGGGTTCAACGTCCCAAAACCGCCATATAATTATGAGAGACTCCATAGTGAAGGGCACCGAAAATTTGGGCCACCTGGGGTTCTTTAACGAGCATCCAAATTTGAGCGCAAGAGCCTACAGCATTCATGCCTCCATCAAAAAGCAGCTGTCGCATTCGAGATTCGATCACACGACCTGTGGTTCAGCAGCCGAGTACCTTAGCCACTAGACCCCCTTCATACGAGACCGGAGTGTGCCATTAGTTATTTCTCTGGATCACATATTGTGCCAGCTTATCTAGCGTTTTCTCCTGCTCTGCATAACCCTTAGATAAGTGCACGGATATAATAAATATATCAGATGCAATAATTGAGCTCTAGTAAAACAAACACAAATGCAAGACAATACAGTAAACTTGGAATACCAACAACTAACTTAAATATAAAACACACTCAAGAGACTGATTAATTTCTTGCTTGATTGCATGATTGGTTGTTGAACTGAGCTTGCACAATTTGCATTATAGATTTCTGACATTCATGTACATTTCAGTCGCGATAGGAAGCATAGGACTTCTCAGCAATTTATGCAAATGGTTCAACCAAAAGAGCGTCGTACAACGTGCTCTTCCTCGTCTTTATCGCCTTCGCTGACGCTTCATTTTGTGTCTGCGCAAGACAAAGAAAGCCATTAGCTAGCTACTTATCAGTTGGCATGTGATGACATTGTAATGAAAATATTACTATGCCAATGATAAGACTATTTCCCAAAGCATGACGACTGCTAGAATTGATTGAAACAATGCTTGTAACGACAGTTAAGAAATCCAGTCATACCCAATCTTCCAATGCTTTACCTAATGAAAATTCAAGCCCTACCGTCTTCGATGTTCAGTGCATGCGGTAATAATTTGGCACGAAAAAAGTAACTAGATTGATGTCCTAAATTCAAGCTTTTCTTTTTTCTAAACACGACACTTTGCCAACCAAGGAGTCCATTGAAACAAAGGGATCCCCACGGTTTGTCTCCCTCCGACAGAAGACTCACTTGCCAGAATCCTAATTTGCTGCAGCGCGAGTGTAGCAATTTGTAGCAACCGTTCTATCGCTGGCGCGTATCACGCCATAAATTTCCTCGTGAGGACCGAGAAAATCTGGAATGCCAGAAAGAGGTGCACCCAGTGTCCACAGGAGAAAAAAAGAAAAGAGGGAAGACGCCTCTGAACTTGCCGGACGGAGAAGCACTCTGTGAAAGCAGCCCTGTAATTCAAGGCGGAAAAAACAAGACAAGGGCGTGAGATGTAAGTAAAAAAAATAGTTGCCACGAATAAGACGAAGGAAAGCGCGCGTTGTCCTACAACGCGGAGAGAGAGAAAAAGAATAAAGACGGTTCGCGCTAGACGGATGGTTGTGGAGGCAAAGTTTGGACTGCATCAGTGGCCAGGGAAGCCCAAAAATACACTCTGCCAAGAAAGAGCGAGAAGCCGCTGCACTGGATGCCAGAAGGGAGCACTAGGGAGGAGACCATTAATAGGAGGAAGCAACGGAAGAAGAAGGCATTCCGTACAGACTGGCACGCTTTCAAGGCTGGGGAGGGACGAAGCTCCAAACATAAACGCCCACAGCTCTTGAACTTCCCTCACGACCGTTATACCTGCCGACAAATGCCTCTGCGCCACAACCTTACCCTCTCTGGCGCACAGAAAATAGCTCGACTGATGGCCGCTGATGCTCGCCACCGACAATGCTCAAAACAAAGAGGCCTCCGCAAGTTCACGCCTGCACCTGTTTAGTGTGCGATTCATAGGCTCCGAAATAAAACAGCTTCTTCCTCTCGTGCACCGTGCCAATTCTGCTGGATGCTTTCTCCCGTTTCGCTTGATCTGCTCCTGCTCAGAGCTTCTATATTTAGCACTGCGCAAACAGTTTGAAGAACTATTTCTGGACAATGGTCAGGAAGCGATAGAAGGGTCGAAGCGGGATTGCAGAAGAGGCATAGAGTGAGTCCAAACAGGTCCAGAATGGACAGCGTGCCACGCGAATGCACAACGTGGTTCCCAACGAAAAGCAATCTATAGATGCAGTCATTACAGAAACTAGAAAAATCAGGACTGGAGATGTTGTACAAGATTTCAAACGGCCAAATCATTTCATTTCATTTCATTTATTTACTCTCAAGGCACTGGGCATTACAGAGAGGAGCGGGACAACAAATATCAATAAGAAGTAAAACAAAACAGCAGGATTAGAATAAATTATAATGCACTTTCAGAAATGATTGATTTGAATGCGTTGGCATCTGTGATTGAAGCGATCGATGCGGGAAGGTGGTTCCAGTCGGTACATGTTCTAGGGATGAAAGAGTTGAAGTGCTGGTTCGTATGGCAGAAGGGAACCCCAACCTTGTATTGATGGTCATTGTGTGCTGATATGTAGGCTGGTGGAAAAAGCAGTGAATCAGAGAGGGTTCTGTTAGTGTGATAGATCTTATGAAAGAGACAGAGACGTGAATTTTTGGGTCGTATTGAGAGGTTATACAAATTTAGTTGAGCCTTCATTAATGTGACACTTGCAGTTCGAGAGTGATTGGACAATATGAAACGTGCTGAGCGATTCTGAATGGATTCAATGTTGTCTATGAGCATGTGAATATGAAGATCCCAGATAGACGACGCATATTCGAGTTTTGGCCGCACTGATGATTTATACAGGAGAAGTTATAGGTTAAATGGAGCAAGAGAAAAATTACGACGTAAATAGCCAGGAGTTCGATTAGCATTGCATGTTATGTAGTCAATGTGAGCCTGCCATGACAGGTTGTTAGAAATGTTAACAACGAGGTACCTGTAAGAAGAAACGTTGTTTAGTGTTTAATAAAGCACTCAGTACAGCTGAAAGAAAATATCAAGTCGAGAACAGAAGGTGAGCTATAGTTTGTGCTGCAACTGAAAGCACACCAGAAAAATTGGGACTGTAGGTGTACAATAAAATTTGAAATGAAAATTTCAAATGGCCAAATAAAGCAGAAGATGCCATTGAAAAAAAGTGAGTAGTAATAAACATATTAAGGCCTGGTTCATGTGCTGCAGCTAAAAGCATAGAGTGTACAGTCTTCATGTAACATCCTCATATCTATTATTCCTGATGTACACCACAAGAAGATGGTTCTGCGTGTATGAATTACATAGAAATATGATACGACAAACCCATGTGCAGAGAAAACTAGTGCGTTGCTTACGATTTGAACACAATAAACATTCTTAAGCCCCACATGAGCCTCATGGGAACATTATACCGCTTGACAAACTTTTAGATCACATAAGTGCCATTCACTGGATGCTCAAATAAGGAGATGCCATCAAATATGCCAGCTTAGAAAAATTAAGGGCCCTTGCCAGAACGTTAGGGATGTACTCAATAAATGTAATTGAAGTATTCAAGTGAGGTTTAATGGCATTACTGCATCAACAATTTTTGATCATGAACATGTAGGCTATCAATTACAATACCATCTTATAATCAATGAACTCAGGCCATTAATTAAGACATAAACTTAGCGATATACAGGTAAGAAAAGCAGATAACTTTCTTAGGTTGCGCCTTCCACTGAAAAAAAGGGAACTCACCCCAATACGGTGGAGTCGGCAATTATATCCGATTCAAAAAAATTTTTTCGGCACGCAATCCCACAAGTCTTCAGTGACGCGCGTCACACTTGAAGAGCCGTTGAACACGCTTGTAACTGCGCTCACAAGATGATGTACTAAAGAACAGCAAGGAGGGGGGGGGGAGAGGAAAATGGCCGAACCACCCAAGAAACGAGGGGCCCCTTATCAGCTTATCGCTACACGGGAGCGGTGGTGCGGGAGAGAGAGGGGGGGGGTTGCATCGACGGCGGCCGATATGAAGCCGTCCTCTCCTCCTTATCAAGGAGGAGCTGCTCCTTATCGCTGGACCAC